CTAGTTTTACACACAGAAGATAACGCATAACGAGCTGCTCATATTTCATACTCATATCTCATATATCTCACGCGGTGTCATGTACGCTCTAAAGCTATGAGGACACTGGAATCATATTTTACAATCACGTGACCTTTGCTTGATTGACGGTACATGCAGGGGGACTATAGTGCACTATAGTCCCCCTGTGGGTGGTGTTTACTACTCGGAGGTAGAGAGGGGACGATATTTGGTGTTTTGCTACTAAACACGAAGATTGGAGGAGCGGTCCTTCGAGGTGGAACATTATCTGGAACATTCTGGAGCACTCACGGTGCAGAATTAAAAGCGTGTAATTGTATTACTGTACACTTTACAAAATCAAAAGTATAGCGTGCAGAGACTGTAACAGTCAGCCAGAGACTGTTACAGTCAGCCAGAGACTGTTACAATCAGCCAGAGTCTATAACAGTCAGCCAGAGTCTGTTACAGTCAGCCAAAGTCTGTTACAATCAGCCAGAGTCTGTTACAATCAGCCAGAGTCTGTTACAGTCAGCCAGAGACTGATACAGTCAGCCAGAGACTGATACAGTCAGCCAGAGTCTGTTACAGTCAGCCAGAGTCTGTTACAGTCAGCCAGAGTCTGTTACAGTCAGCCAGAGTCTGTTACAGTCAGACTCAGCCAGAGTCTGTTACAGTCAGCCAGAGTCTGTTACAGTCAGCCAGAGTCTGTTACAGTCAGCCAGAGTCTGTTACAGTCAGTCAGAGTCTGTTACAGTCATTCAGAGTCTGTTACAGTCAGCCAGAGTCTGTTACAGTCAGCCAGAGTCTGTTACAGTCAGCCAGAGTCTGTGACGGTCAGCCAGAGTATGTTATATGTTTTAAATATCCCCCTCCTATCACTTATATGTTTTAAATATCCCCCTCCAGAGTATGTTACAGTCAGCCAGAGTCTGTTACAGTCAGCCAGAGACTGTTACAGTCAGCCAGAGACTGTTACAATCAGCCAGAGTCTATAACAGTCAGCCAGAGTCTGTTACAGTCAGCCAGAGACTATTACAGTTAGCCAGAGACTGTTACAATCAGCCAGAGTCTGTTACAGTCAGCCAGAGACTGTTACAGTCAGTCAGAGTCTGTTACAGTCAGTCAGAGTCTGTTACAGTCAGCCAGAGTCTGTGACGGTCAGCCAGAGTCTTGTACAGTCAGCCAGAGTCTGTTACAGTCAGCCAGAGTCTGTTACAATCAGCCAGAGTCTGTTACAGTCAGCCAGAGTCTGTTACAGTCAGCCAGAGTCTGTGACGGTCAGCCAGAGTATGTTATATGTTTTAAATATCCCCCTCCTATCACTTATATGTTTTAAATATCCTCCTCCAGAGTATGTTACAGTCAGCCAGAGTCTGTTACAGTCAGCCAGAGACTGTTACAGTCAGCCAGAGGCTGTTACAATCAGCCAGAGTCTATAACAGTCAGCCAGAGTCTGTTAGATTCAGCCAGAGACTGTTACAATCAGCCAGAGTCTGTTACAGTCAGTCAGAGACTGTTACAGTCAGTCAGAGTCTGTTACAGTCGGTCAGAGTCTGTAACAGTCAGCCAGAGTCTGTGACGGTCAGCCAGAGTCTGGTACAGTCAGCCAGAGACTGTTACAGTCAGTTAGAGTCTGTTACAGTCAGTCAGAGTCCGTTACAGTCAGCCAGAGACTGTTACAGTCAGCCAGAGTCTGTGACGGTCAGCCAGCGTCTGTTACAGTCAGTCAGAGTCTGTTACAGTCAGCCAGAGTCTGTTACAGTCATTCAGAGTCTGTTACAGTCAGCCAGAGTCTGTGACGGTCAGCCAGAGTCTGTTACAGTCAGCCAGAGACTGTTACAGTCAGCCAGAGACTGTTACAGTCAGCCAGAGACTGTTACAGTCAGTCAGAGTCTGTTACAGTCAGCCAGAGTCTGTTACAGTCATTCAGAGTCTGTTACAGTCAGCCAGAGTCTGTTACAGTCAGCCAGAGACTGTTACAGTCAGCCAGAGACTGTTACAGTCAGCCAGAGACTGTTACAGTCAGCCAGAGTCTGTTACAATCAGCCAGAGTCTGTTACAATAAGCCAGAGACTGTTACAATAAGCCAGAGACTGTTACAGTCAGCCATAGTCTGTTACAGTCAGAGTCTTTTGTCAAAGACTCTCGCGTGTATTTGTATACAACGTGTAGCAAATATGCCCTTGTTTGTTCTTTATTGTCAAGATATTATAACGAAACGGCAATAAATTGAATGACATATATCATTATATGCAACAATGAGTATATTTTGCATTATCAAAAGAGCATATCTTGGCAGTATTGGAACGTGTAAAGTGTTCATTAGGTTAACAAATGGGACCCGTGGTTGACCGAGTGACCGACCTTTCAAAATGATCAAAATAAATTCTTTAAGTTTATAAACTTAAGCTTATTTTAAGTTTATAAACTTAAAATTCAACTTATTTTTTATAAATATAAAATATTTATATAGTCTGATTACAACTACAAGGATTGCAGTTGAATGCAGACATTGATAATCATTTGATACATGTTTCGTGTCCCTCCAAAAAGTCCGATTTCCTTCATTGTATGCCCCTTTTTCCACCTTCGGCGGCGCGCGCTTCGCGCGCGAAAAGTGGCATGCAACGTATGTCAAATAATCATTCAACCACAACCTCGTGGATGATAAGTTAATAAATGATACTGATAGATAAAAGGTCGTATGTATGCGACAATTTATTACCACTGCAGGTATTATGTAACTCACTACTTCACTAGATATATACTACGTGGGTTACATAACGTTTGAAGACTCAAATGATTCATCAAATCGCGTCGATTGAACTGATAGTGATATAGTAATAGATATTAAACGGAGCGAACTAATTGTTAATTAGGAAATCATACTGATTTAATGTGACCAGTCTGAGGTAAGAGGATTTTGAAAATCGAGAGTAACTTTTTATGCCAAATGACAATAAAAATAAACCTGTTAGCGTTTTGTCCTAATCTGTAAGTATATGTACTCCGGGAACACGACTTTTATTTGTAAAACGTAAACACGATCGTTTGATCACCAACCAATAACCAAGCAATATTCGGTCTGTGTTCTTTAAATCCGACTGCACTTCGAAGTGCTCATGCTCATACCAGGGAATTAATCTTTCGATGATAACTTATACTTCAAAGCTAACAAAAGCAACCAAATTAAATATATGAACATTAATTTCAGAATGGTGGCTCTACATCAAATGTGCAATCATTTAGGCTTATTACTAATCGTTCATGGCCCCAACTAGATAATTATTGTTGTTTCAAATATTTTCCCATGAAATTTCCAAGAATTTGACAGCCAATTATTTTGAAGGCCTGAATCAAAAATATGAAAACTAAGTTTAAAAAACTAGTTTCGGAAAACATTGAGGATGAACCCCCTTATATTAAGTAAAGACGATGTATTAAGGTCAAAATTAATTATATGTATATAGATCATACTGAATAAATCCGGTCAAATTGACACAAATTGACACCAATCATGGCAGGATAGGCCATATCATAAGGATAACTATAAAGTATAAGGCCATACTATAAGGATAAGAAATACAAATAATTCGGAGTAAATAGAAAACCATGGTTTTATAAAGGAGCAATGAATACAAAACAACCTTTTTCATTCAGACGAATATTATTTTGCTTTGTCGACAAAATTTCCTTTTGTTCATTATTTATTGGATAACAAAGACTCTTCCAAGAATTTAATTGCTCTTTATTGAATTCAATCGCATGAAAACAAAGAAGCTTGCAAAGTCTCCAGGACTTTCGGTCCAGTTCGTCGTACAGAAATCCTTTCCCGGCTTACAGTCCGCCACTGGGCATTGGCTATTAATACATGTTATATATTCCAGCATCAAAAGAAATCGGCAATGTTTAATTCATTTTGCCGATCAAACAAACCGTATGAATAGGCGGAACTAAAGATTGGTCACAATAATATTAGATGCACGACTTGCACGTACAGTTTTCCACATTTTCCTTAAACGGACAATATAATGTGTCAAACATACCTATGCATCTTTGATTGTACTACTTAATAAGATATAATCTTGGTATCATTCGACAATGTTCTGCCAAAATGATGATAACACACGCTATTTCTTTGCAACAAACACACACTGTGCCTCACCCAGGAAGTTCATACAATTCTTGGTGGATCGAATAATGGAATCCCTATATAATAATTTAATACCTTGATCTAAGTCAACAATTTGTCAAACTCAAGTGAACAGTTCATAAGTTTGATAGACAGATAGCTGGCAATCTGGTAATCTAGCTAGGCACACTGCACTTGGGGCACAGTTGGGGCCCAATACAAGTGTGCCCCAGCTGTTCCCCAACTGTATTTCCCCAAGTGTGCCCCAACTGTATTTGCCCCAAGTAACTTTGTGCCCCAAGTGTCCCAGCTGTGCCCCAACTGTATTTGCCCCAAGTGTGCCCCAAGTAACTTTTTGCCCCAAGTGTGCCCCAGGAAATTCTATTTTGTGCCCCAGGTGTGCCCCAAGTGTGCCTAGCTAGATTACCAAATTGCCAGATAGCTACATCTGAAACGAGAGTGTACTGTTCAGAGACACTTTGCAACCGCCCATCAAGCATAAAATTTAATAGGCTCAGTAATCTCGAATATTGAACAATTTTACTGCCTTCTATGCAATCTAATCTTCAGCTGAAGCATAGATTACCGGAATTCAGAGATGATGAAATCAGAAGACAACAGATTTATCATCTTCAACCATATAAAACACTATATTAATAATCAACCTATTATTACTATCTCAATCTGTGAGCTGCGATATACCGTTACCCAGGTTTTAGTTCCTAAATGGGCAACTTCCAATCCCATTATTTAGTAGACGTTTTTGGAGTTAGCTCTAATAGTAATTCTAACTGCTAAACGTTAATTGTCAAATTTTAAGCACTTTAAATTAAACCCACACTCAATCGCTTCCTCTCGTAGCCAAGTATGACCGTCACAGACATCGACCCCGACAAACTGATGAGCAACTACGGAGCGAAGTCGTACAATCCAGAGGAACAAAAGCGACAATGGAAGGAGCACGTACACAATGAGATAAAAACTCAGATGAACCACCCGATAAGTAAATCAGAACACTTTGTCAAAAAAGAGGGTCTGGAAGCATGTCTGGACAGGAAGATCAACTATTATAACTCAGAAAAACAGTACGACAAGAATGGAACGTATGATAGGTATGTAAGGGTCTGCCCACATTGCGCCTCTAATAGATGATAGGTATGTAATACGAGGCGATAACTGCCCAGCATGCAGAGATACATTTGTCAGTGTTTTGTACGATGGCACTGTAGCTACAACCACAATAGTTTGAATACGATTTTACTCCGGCTCGACCAGTCTGCATCATGAATTTTGCACTTATACGGCCAAATTACCATGACATGTAACTTAATCTCACCGTTATTCTCAATCCACAGACTCACCGGAAGGTTTAACAGTTAACTATTACACTTAATCTCTTGTTCCTTTCTTAAAACATGATTCATTCTTTACACTTCACCCCACAACAGGTTGTTCCACCAGAAAGAGGGCTACAATCCCTCGCACAAGAGAGATGATCGGACCTACGATACTAATGTGGAAGAGGAGGATGTTGGGAAACCTGTACCAACTCGGTAAGTGGACTCAGTAGTAGTGGAACAGGGGGTCGTTCACATATTACGTAATCATTTTTTGGAAAATTTGTACCAAACCCCCCCCCCCCCCCCCCCCCCCCCCCTCCGTAATCAGTTTTACGCATAGCTATTGTGTAAAAATTACACTAGCTTAATCATTCGGAAACCCCCCCCCCCCCCCTCCAGCTGATTACGTAATATGTGAACGACCCCTAACCAACTCGGTAAGTGGACCCAGTAGTAATGGAACTAAAGTTCTATTTGAAAACTATTTGAAAATCTAACATCAACTGGAAATATTTGATTTATGTCGAGATTCAATAGGAACATTGCATTTAGGAGCCTTCAAGTTAATAATTATGCCGTTTTTGTAAGTTTTGTCCAAGCTTGCCTACACTGTGTTTTAATTTTATGACACGGAACATTATATGGTGACACATTTTATTGCCACTGCATACCATAACCGCAGACGATCAATTGAGTATGAATTAAATGTTTAAATATCCTAATTTGGAGATTTAAAAAAGTTTCCGTAACAATGAAACATTCTCACATTGAGTGTGTAACTCGATAGTAGTCGACAACAGACTAAGTACCGTACTAATCATTAATTAAAAGTATTAATAAAGTTTGCTCTCAGATCATCCTCGGTGTACGGCTCCAGGCTGGACAAGCAGGTGGAACCAGAGCGGTCGAGGCAGCACGTGCGGTGCGCGGTCGTGCAGAAAGACTTTTACAGAGCCGGCCTAGCTGAATAGCATACAGCAGCACAATTGAAACGACAGAGATCGGCGGCTCTTTCGAAAGCTATTGACAACCGTGCTACCAATTTTATTGTGGGCTACTGTAGATATAGGAGATTATACCAAATTTAACTAGACGGACATTAACGTCAGTACTGCACTGTTAATTGAAACTAGGGAAATTCTTGCACGTGCGATGAGAGAGGACTCCACCGCGTACTGCACTCAGCTCAATTGAGACAAATTTTGTTCTCTATGGTTGCATTAAGAGAAAGGTGCCATTAATTTAAAAGAAGCCAGAGAAATTAAAGATTTGTTCATCAAGTGCTTTTCCAAGAATAGTCTAATTTCATCAGATTTACTGCCAAAGACTGTCCTTCTCGCAATATTCGATCCATCAAAGAAATCTTAATGAACTTCTTCGGGTACTATAGAGTTATTTTATGAGTGTGTAATATGTCTTTATTGCCAGTAATATTTTTGAACAATGTAACATGCCTTTATTTTAATAAAGCTAGGGTTGAAACCCAAAATACAACACCATTATAATACAGTACGGAAAATAAAATTAGCTTGCAGAATCCATATTTCATATTTCAGAGTACCAAAAAACATTTTCGGCACTTTTCGGAGTATAAATATAATCAAAATGTTCATATTTTGTCCAATATTGTTGAAAATTCCCGAATTGTTTCGTGAACTTCCGACAGTAAATGTTGACCAATATTGTGGAACATTTTCGAATATTCCAATTTCGCAATAGAGCAATAGCAACATTCTATAAAATACATGAAAAGACAAAATTGGTCAGTGAACAGCCCGAATAAAAACTAAAAATGGAATTGTCGGATAAATTTAAAACCTATGAAAAAAAGCTCACAAAACTTTAAAGTTTCGCTTTTGCTAACCTAGTTGAGAATTAAAAGTTACTTCAACCATGATCGAATGTGGCGAGTAGTGGACTTATATGATGAGGTGACTTTCACTCAGAACTGAGTTACAGTACTATTCCATATACCAGCTAGTATCAATAAAGAGTAGCGACAAATATTTCGGGAGAAGGAAAATATCAGTACAATACTCGTATTACCATGGTAACAGCGAGCCTGCCCTCGTACACGTGTCAAATACAACAAAATATAATCATCTCGTAAAAAGTAAACCAGAATACATGATAATATACAAAACCAACAAATACACACTTTTTAACCACACTTCTCCTAGAAACTTCTAGTCGCTCTCCGAGTCATAGTAGTTTGCTTGTCGAATTGCTGACGTCATGGCATCGGGAATATGGCGCTTCTCTTTGGGGTCCCGCTCCATAGTGGAGGTGACTGCCTTAACTTTATGCAGCTTCCATTCCAGCTCTGAGGGAGAGGGGGGTTATGGAGGGAATGTGGAAGTGATAGCAGCTTGGAAAGAGTGTGTTATTGACCAAAATGGTCTAAATTTCGTGTGCAGACATATTGGTAAGATAAATTGTTTCTCGAATTCAGCGCATAAAAGTTACCAAAAATAACCAGGTTTTTCTGCATAACTACTAGAAGTTAAAAATGCCCCTAAGTTTTAAATCACTTCCCATTTCTTAAAATCTGTGAGGTAAATCGATAGACCACCAAATATTCGAGATTAGTAGTAGTACAGAAGAATTAGTCAAAAAAGTTGGAATTTATAATCGTATCTGAACATGATTTAGAATTGTATTCTGATTGATCAGTGCTTGAAACAAGACACATTAGTTAAACCCCCATACAATTTACAGGTTAAGGCGAGGAAGTGTCCATCAATACAATACTGTTCAGAGATAGTCTAAAAGAACGTGAATTCCAAAATAGTATCATACGAGCATAATTATACAAGGGAGCGTTAGCAACTGTCAGCATTAAGCCCCCCCCCCCCCCCCCCCCCCCCCGGCCCCCGGCCCCCATTACGTCAGCATATTTTGCCCGAACCATCACCCCTCCCCGGACCGGGGGTCTAGATTCAGGGGGGCCGGGGGGGGGGGGTGCACGGGTATTGCATGAGGAAACATAAGCTCTGTTTGATTTGGACGGAAAATTGGAAGAATTTGTTGAAGGACCCGGGGGGTTATTGTTGAACAAATTGATTCAAATTTCAGCCAAAATTCAGGTATTTTTCCGTCGTCACCTAATGTACTACCTCAACAGTACAATTCATCCCTCCTATCTCTATTTGTTATCTATCAATAATGACTTGTAACCTACCATCAACAGTACAATTCATCCCTCATATCTCTATTTGTTATCTATCAATAATGACTTGTAACCTACAGCTACCATCAACAGTACAATTCATCCCTCCTATCTCCATTTGTTATCTATCAATAATGACTTGTAACCTACCATCAACAGTACAATTCATCCCTCCTATCTCCATTTGTTATCTATCAATAATGACTTGTAACCTACCATCAACAGTACAATTCATCCCTCCTATCTCTATTTGTTATCTATCAATAATGACTTGTAACCTACCATAAACAGTACAGTTCATCCCTCCTATCTCCATTTTTTATCAATCAATAATGACTTGTAACCTACCATCAACAGTACAATTCATCCCTCCTATCTCTATTTGTTATCTATCAATAATGACTTTTAACCTACCATCAACAGTACAGTTCATCCCTCCTATCTCTATTTGTTATCTATCAATAATGACTTGTAACCTACCATCAACAGTACAATTCATCCCTCCTATCTCTATTTGTTATCTATCAATAATGACTTGTAACCTATCATCAACAGTAAAATTCATCCCTCCTATCTCTATTTGTTATCTATCAATAATGACTTGTAACCTATCATCAACAGTAAAATTCATCCCTCCTATCTCTATTTGTTATCTATCAATAATGACTGGTAACCTACCATCAACAGTACAATTCATCCCTCCGAAAGTGACGGCCCCAACCATCTGTGTCTTCATATCTCCGTCTTTGTAGATGAAAAACGTAGGCAGATTCTGGGGGAAATGTTCTGGTTAATTGAACCGACAATGTATGAAATGGAGAGCAATCAGTTAGAAGAAATTTGTATTTCAAGTAAATATCATTAACGAAGGGAAGAGTGTCTATACAATTGAAATAGCTTACCATAAATGTGAGAAAATAGAACTGACCTTATCAGGGAAGTTAGGAATACAGGTAGTACTGATACTCTTGATAAACTTGGTGGCGGGGAACTTGCGGGCAAGTGTTGTCAGATGTTGGTTCAGCAACGCACAGAGGGGGATCCTTATGGTTACTCATGGTTAGTGGTTACTAATGGTTACTAATGAGGAAGTTAACATTTTAGTTGTTTTGTTGATCTGGAAAATGTCTAAAAATGAGAGTCACTCTTTATACAGGGTGGGCCAAAAGTCAGTGTGCAAACGTTGGGTCTTATACCTCCGCTGAGTTTTATATTTGAGAGCTGTTGCTTTACAGATGGCATACTGTACTTACTGGTTCGAGGATTCCGTCGTCAAAATTTGAAAATTCGAATATTTTAGACCACGCCCATTCAATATTAAAACACCTATATTGTTTTCTCTGAAAATCCTGAACGCCTAATTTTTTTAGAGACGGTAGATTATCAAATGTTGCATATGATCTGAAAAAATGAGGCAAAACGGATTAGAAATGACGAAGTTAACAAGCATTTTGTGTATCTCGTTAACAAATTGACTGGGTGATTATGTGACACCGTGACACGACACCTTAATTGGGCACCCTTAACAATTCCCATAATGTTTAACGGGGTAGTTAACGGGGTCACCTTATCACGTGATTAGGTAAACCAATCACCTGATCACACGTAATGAACAAGCTTGTTATGCTTCATATCTCGGTCATCTGAGAAGCTAGAACTCTCATTCTTTCAGGGCAAACGTAATTCGAATGGCCAAACACAATTCAATAACATTTAGCTTGATCCGATTATCCAAACTATCAAAAAAATGTGAAAATGAACCTCCATTTGAAAAAAATGAACGCGAATATTTTTCGAGTTGACAAATTCCTCGAACCAGTGGTGGTACTAAGTCATACCAGAAGGAAGTATTTCAATTGGGCACTCAGTGACTGAGCTATTAAGGCCAACGTTTGCACACTGACTTTTGGCCCACCCTGTAGTAATTAGCGGTTCGTTTTTTATTTTCGTCAAATATTTACAATTAAGATACAAAACAGGTACGAAAATAGTAAGAGAATTCCTTACCCTTGTTTGTAAAGATGAAGAACAACGTTCACACCGTCCCCTGCCTTGTTCACCTCTTGAATGTACTGAGGGGCCGTTATCTCCATTACTGTTCCGTATTTTGCAAGTGACGCTGTTGCTCTCATCTCCGCAATTCGCTTTGCTCTGAGGAGTTTACCCAAACATTAGTGAGATCGAAATCGGCATATTTTCATATAGCAAAACATTCAATCAGCGAACACTCTCTCATCTTATATAAAATATCAGGAGCAGCGAAAATCTCTACTTGATTTCAGCGAACACTCTCTCGTCTTACTTAAATATAACACAATATCAGAGAGCAGCAGTAGAAATTACTACCTGATTTCAGCGAACACTCTCTCATCTTACTTAAATATAACACAATATCAGAGAGCAGCAGTAGAAATTGCTACCTGATTTCAGCGAACACTCTCTCATCTTACTTAAATATAACACAATATCAGAGAGCAGCAGTAGAAATTGCTACCTGATTTCAGCGAACACTCTCTCATCTTACTTAAATATAACACAATATCAGAGAGCAGCAGTAGAAATTGCTACCTGATTTCAGCGAACACTCTCTCATCTTACTTAAATATAACACAATATCAGAGAGCAGCAGTAGAAATTGCTACCTGATTTCAGCGAACACTCTCTCGTCTTACTTAAATATAACACAATATCAGAGAGCAGCAGTAGAAATTGCTACCTGATTTCAGCGAACACTCTCTCGTCTTACTTAAATATAACACAATATCAGAGAGCAGCAGTAGAAATTGCTACCTGATTTCAGCGAACACTCTCTCGTCTTACTTAAATATAACACAATATCAGAGAGCAGCAGTAGAAATTACTACCTGATTTCAGCGAACACTCTCTCATCTTACTTAAATATAACACAATATCAGAGAGCAGCAGTAGAAATTACTACCTGATTTCAGCGAACACTCTCTCATCTTACTTAAATATAACACAATATCAGAGAGCAGCAGTAGAAATTACTACCTGATTTCAGCGAACACTCTCTCATCTTACTTAAATATAACACAATATCAGAGAGCAGCAGTAGAAATTGCTACCTGATTTCAGCGAACACTCTCTCATCTTACTTAAATATAACACAATATCAGAGAGCAGCAGTAGAAATTACTACCTGATTTCAGCGAACACTCTCTCATCTTACTTAAATATAACACAATATCAGAGAGCAGCAGTAGAAATTGCTACCTGATTTCAGCGAACACTCTCTCGTCTTACTTAAATATAACACAATATCAGAGAGCAGCAGTAGAAATTGCTACCTGATTTCAGCGAACACTCTCTCGTCTTACTTAAATATAACACAATATCAGAGAGCAGCAGTAGAAATTGCTACCTGATTTCAGCGAACACTCTCTCGTCTTACTTAAATATAACACAATATCAGAGAGCAGCAGTAGAAATTACTACCTGATTTCAGCGAACACTCTCTCGTCTTACTTAAATATAACACAATATCAGAGAGCAGCAGTAGAAATTACTACCTGATTTCAGCGAACACTCTCTCGTCTTACTTAAATATAACACAATATCAGAGAGCAGCAGTAGAAATTGCTACCTGATTTCAGCGAACACTCTCTCGTCTTACTTAAATATAACACAATATCAGAGAGCAGCAGTAGAAATTGCTACCTGATTTCAGCGAACACTCTCTCGTCTTACTTAAATATAACACAATATCAGAGAGCAGCAGTAGAAATTGCTACCTGATTTCAGCGAACACTCTCTCGTCTTACTTAAATATAACACAATATCAGAGAGCAGCAGTAGAAATTGCTACCTGATTTCAGCGAACACTCTCTCGTCTTACTTAAATATAACACAATATCAGAGAGCAGCAGTAGAAATTGCTACCTGATTTCAGCGAACACTCTCTCGTCTTACTTAAATATAACACAATATCAGAGAGCAGCAGTAGAAATTGCTACCTGATTTCAGCGAACACTCTCTCATCTTACTTAAATATAACACAATATCAGAGAGCAGCAGTAGAAATTGCTACCTGATTTCAGCGAACACTCTCTCGTCTTACTTAAATATAACACAATATCAGAGAGCAGCAGTAGAAATTACTACCTGATTTCAGCGAACACTCTCTCGTCTTCTTCATCCTCCAATTCGTCCAGCTCGTCCAAGTCCATCTCCTCCATCAATTTACCTGAAAATTTGGTAATTTAGTTAGTTTAGCGAAATTTGTTCGAAAATTGTTCGACCAAAGAATTCAGAATTCTTTTATTTCTTACGCCTATCAAAAAGAAAATCAGATCTAAAAACCCGGAACTCACCTCCCATTTGTTTCCGTACTGCATCTTCCACCATCGATTGTATTTGCTCTTCAGTAACTTCCAATTCCTTTTCCTGAAGAGCGAGTATAGTATAGAACTTTAAAAGCTACAGCTGAGTTGAAAAGAGCAACACCTTTAAAAATAGGGGTCGTTCACATATTACGTAATCACTGAGGGGGGAGGGCGGTGGTTTTCAAATAATTACTCCTAGTGTAATTTTATCACAATAGCTATGTGTAAAACTGATAACGGAGGGGGGGGGGGGATTCGCCAAAAAGTGATTACGTAGTGTGTGTGAACACAAAATGTCACATTTCGCCCTAGTCCCGATTTTACCTTTTCTGGGATGATTCCCTTCTTTCGTAGAACGTCGTTCCATTCCGTATCTTCGTTGGGGTTCTGCATAGCAAATCCTATAAACTGACAAATTTCGGTCAATATTCAATATGTTTAAAGGTTGTCGTAATGCTACAGTACAAAAATCGAGTGTTTAAAGGTCAGAACGAATAAAGAGATAAAACACTTCGTCAGGTAGTTACAACACACGGAATAAAAGAAGATGTAAAGCAATGAAAGACATCACAACTATGTGGTAAAATATAGCAACAGAAATTCATTATTAGAATTAACTTTGCAGTTTGTTGCTCAACGGGGAAAACTTCAACGCATTATACAACACCGTAAAATACATTTGTGGAACTGGTCAACGATTTGATGTTAAAAGTTGTCAACAGGTTCAGGAAACACGAAACTATACCATGTGTACTATACATAAACCCTTGTAATCGATAATTACAAATAAAATAAAAACTCACGAGAGGTGGCCGCGCGCACGTACTTAAAGACGCGCATTAAACATGATATTCGATTGAACTTGAATTGAAGAAATGTTCTTGCGCCTTACTACAAATAAAATATAAAATGTGTCCGCCCGGACGTGATCTGTTGTCCGAGCCGTAAGACTAGTTTTAGAAAGCTGATCTGACAAGATATTGACAAGTGTTTATCCAGAGCACCCTCTGCAACCACAATGTACACACTCCACAATCTTTATCTGGTCTAATTTTGACCGAGGAACTCTACATATACAGTTAGTACCGAAGTTGGTGTCTCTGACCTGAAATAAGTCAAATTAGCAAATCTGTCAAATAAATGGAATAGCAAGCAACACGGAGCGCATAGTAACAAAGTATTCACTGAGACAATTCTAAATTACACATTACCTGGATACAACGCAAGCAACATAACCTCTCATAACCATCCTTTTTCCATTTGGCGATCAGATTAGCATCAGCTATCTTTTCCTTGATACAATAGTCATACAGTTCCTTGCTGATAGCTTTCCTCTTGTAGTACAAATCATACAAGTACCGTGACTTTTGGTGGTGAATCTTAAAGATCGGCCACAGAGCTTCAACCTGAATAACATTTTAGATAAATTTGTGAAATCATTGCTATCAACTTAATCAGGTTACAATTTGATAAATTGTCACATTTTCTAGCTGTTGTGAAGAGTGAAAAGCCTTGTAAAGCTGGAATGAAGCATGAGTAACCATGAGTAACCATGAGTAACCATGAGTAACCATGAGTAACCATTAGTAACCACTAACCATGAGTAACCATGAGTAAACATGAGTAACCAGTAACCATGAGTAACCATGAGTAACCATGAGTAACCATTAATAACCATGAGTAACCATGAGTAACCATTAGTAACCATGAGTAACCATGAGTAACCATTAGTAACCACTAACCATGATTAACCATGAGTAACCATGAGTAACCATTACTAACCATTAGTAAGGGGAGTAACCAGTAATAACCATGAGTAACTATTAGTAACCATGAGTAACCCTGAGTAACCATTAGTAACCATTAGTAACCATTACGTACCTTTCTCTTTCCCTCGTGTGGCTCAGTTTCGTGTTCCCTCATTTTAGCGTCTAGTTCCTCAATAGTGGGCTCTATAAGCTCCCAGCCTTCTGGGGGCGGCTTCCTGCTTCTCCTTACTTTGGGCATTGTAAACCTACACAATATAAGGCCGGTATGTTATATTATATAGAAACACAGTTACAGGGATCTTACATTTTATATGAAAGATAGAGTAGATGGGAAGTTAATATTTTATAATTTAGCTGGGAGAATCGTGGTGAACAGAAATTAAGAACGAAATCATTATTAGAGAGTGAAACACCAGACCAAATGAATTTATCTGGCAAACGTTAAAAACCTAAAAATGCTAAGAAATTTCCAAATCTCTACTGAAGTAATACACCCCAATTTTCATTTACCTTACAAAACGTAACACCTGTACTAAGCGAATAAATTAAATAAAAATGGATCTCAATTAGCTAATTAGACTACAAGTCTATATTTTAAAGAACTGTACTGTGTATAGTAACCAAATCTTGTTAATACGAGTAGTTGCTGCGCAGCAAAAGCTTAAATGTGCTTTAAAAAGAACAGCTCAAGTTCAAGAATGCACTTGTGACACGCAGCAAGAGCCCTAATTAACAAAATATGGTAAGACTACAGAAACAGTTAATTGATTATTTACCAAAATTTTGGACGACAGGTTATTGATAATTTGATAATGTTTTATCAATATGATTACCACAAAATGATCCAATTGTATCATCATTACTTTAAGAAGACAACATATTGCCACAATATATTAAGATAAATGCACCATTCCCACCATTTTATTCTCTAAAACAAAATGCATGATGTCTAAATATCAGAACTCTTATACTATCATAGGAGTAAAAGATGTTAAATGATAGAGAAACTACTTTAGAGACAGAGCGCAAACTTTTCAACTAACATATCCCCTGAGTTAGATGTGACAGGAGCAATCAATTTGGAAAATTTCTAAGAAATTTTAAGCTGAGCTAAGCTCAGTCGTCTGAATCAGAATCAGAGTCATCAATATCTAAATCTTCTAATCCCTCTTCAACGAATAGATCTTCGTTTATCTGCATGTTATTATTGTCTTGGTGGTTCTGTAGTGAGGGACCAGGTTTTCCTTCTTCTTCTTCTTCGTCATCCTGATAAATATGTTTTTAAATAAACTAATTATTAGTATTAGAAGTTATTTTACAAGTATTTGTTCTACTGCATACAAATTTAAAGATGGGCCTGTACTGTGAGATTGCCTCTACAGTCTACACGATCTACATTATTAAATCCTCTGCAATACCTCCCCCTCCATAAGATTACACGACAGATTAACACTAAGTACTACACATCACTACCTAAGAAGTAAGAAGTAAGTACTACAGATCACTAACTAAGAACTAAGTAAGTTACACATCATTAACTAAGAACTAACCTCCACATCACTAACTTAGAACTAACCTCCACATCACTAATTAAGAACTAAGTACTACACATCACTAAATATTAACTAAGAACTAAAGGCATCATGTAGCCTCCAGGCTCGACAAACCCCGACAAACCCCGACATATCCCGACAAACCCCGACAAACGGGGTTTGTCGAGGGGTTTTGCCTCGGGCCCACCGGCTACATGAGGCCTTCTTGTATAGTGTTTTTCCACGTAAAGATTGATGACTCCGTCTCGGCTTTTTGTTGGGAGACTCAAAAAAAAAAAAAAAAAAAAAAAAAAAAGCCTCCAGGCTCGACAAACCGGAAACCCCGACAAACCCCGACAAACCCTGACAAATCCCGACAAACCCCGACGTGTCAAGATATGTCGTATCATGTCGGGCCCACCGGCTACATGATGCCTAACTAAGTACTACACATCACTAACTAAGAACTAAGTACCACACTAACCTCCATATCACCCAGGTCTATGACAGTCTCCTGCACATCATGAACCACCACATCCTCCTCCTCCTCCTCCACCTCCCTCTCAATCACATCCTCTGCTTCGTCGTCATCAGCATCAGCTAACTCTGGTTTGTAAGCAAACATTTCACGACCACTGAAACCAAGCAGACGTCCTAGGAGAGAGGTTAATGTTAATATAATTTACACAAAAAAGAGAATATTTAGTAGTTTCAACATTTATGTTATTCTGGATATTTCAGAGCACCGATCAAGAACATGCTTAGTAAAATGTTCAAACCTTGTTTGAAATCTCCCTTCTTCTTCTTTGTAGTGGCGATAAGCTTGTCTTTTTTCTCTTTGATCTTCTTAGCTTTCCAAGCAGTAAACGTTTCCAAAGTAACCTTCGTAGTATTAGGGCCAAGTTTCTTCCGCTCAATATCAATAAGTTCTTCAAGGGTTAATTCGTTCTTCGTATCTTCTTTAACCATGTCCTTCTTCAGTATAAAGCCCGGTGGTAAAGCATGTCGGTACAAACACTTTCCTCCGTTAGGACACTCCCAAAACCACCCATAAACACTCTTCTCCACAGCTTTGAGGAAATGCTTACAGATCTGGGAACTGGTCTGACGGTTGTTTTTAGCGCCATGTTTCTCTGCAATAACTTCTTCCAACTTGCTCTGGTCCCACTGGTCCATGCCGCCCTCCTTTTCCTCCTCTTTGCCATCTCTCTTGTCTGCGTACAGACTCCTCTTTTCACTTTTGCCAGCCAGGGAGAGATCGTGAGAGAACTTACATTTTGAACCTTTCTGACAGGTTCCTTGTACAAAGAAAGCACACAGAACTGACTTTGGGTCTCCGCCAGCACTGACTGTTTGTAGTGGTCTAAACAACAGGTTCAGTTCATCTGAGGAGTTATGTATTATGAAGAAGTTACGTTTTATTAAGTTATTATTAAGGGGGCCGGGGGGGGGGGGGGGTCTTCATCAAAATTCTCTTTAAATCGACTTTATATTTGTTTCTGATAGAGGGGAGTGATATCTTTCAGCTGCTTTTGGTCCCATGGAAAAATATTGTTCCTAGCCGAAATTATTGCTGGTCAAAGGTCAGCGCTTATGTGTAATTGTATTGCGCGAGCGATTTTCAATCGCGCGTTCTGAAAATCGAGTCTAAAAATCTATCTTCTCCTACATTTTTTGAGCAATCACCCTCAAACTTTCAGGATATGTTCTTAGGATCAGTAAGAAGAGAACTCTAGAGCCAGAATTTTGAGATAGGCCTTTAAAGATTTTTAATTCGATTTTGAAATTCTTGGACCTTAATTTTTAGAGCTTCTTACTGATCCTAAGAACATATCCTGAAAGTTTGAGGGTGATTGCTCAAAAAATGTAGGAGAAGATAGATTTTTAGACTCGATTTTCAGAACGCGCGATTGAAAATCGCTCGCGCAATACAATTACACATAAGCGCTGACCTTTGACCAGCGATAATTTCGGCTAGGAACAATATTTTTCCATGGGACCAAAAGCAGCTGATAGATATCACTCCCCTCTATCAGAAACAACTATAAAGTCGATTTCGAGATAATTTTGATGAAGACCCCCCCCCCCCCCCCCCGGCCCCCTTAAGGAGTTAGGTATTAATTTCAAGCATTAAATTTAAAATTGAAATCTAATTTATTTATTAAAATTTTCAGAATTTCAACACCCCATATTACATGCATATAATACTACAAAAAATATCTTAATTAACTATTGCTTTATTGATAAAATTTTAAATGAACATAAATAAAAAGGAGCACATTTGTTTTCAATGGTAAGCTATCTCTTACTATATTAGAGGAATGCTGGTCAATGAAGAATGGTGAAATGTAATGATTTAATCCCTTTGATGCAGTTGGATTTGATAGTTGTGGTAGTATTATGATTGTAAGTCAGGGTGTTTAGAAGTTCAGTACTAGCCTACTCGCTAGCCTGTGTACTGGCAATAGAGGTGGACAATGGAGAGGATGGTATTATCTACTCAGGGTTTTAGAGGGTCATTTCTAAGTTTGCTAAATGAGTTCAACTACTGCCCGTTGCGTTGGAAAGGTTAACAGAAGCCAGAAGGTTCAACTAATTTAAAATTAGTAGCAAAAAAAACAGTAAGGATTGAGAAATTTAAAGAAAAAGTAGAACATCAATAATGATAATTATCTAATTACAATGTGATGAAACTTTGACACTAGGCATACCTTTTTGGGCCTTCTTTTGGTCTTGGAGCTTTCTTTTTTCTTCCAACTGCTTATTTTTGTCCTTCTGATTACCCATGACCTGACTTTTAATTTGTTGAATTTGTTGTTGCTGCTTCTTTCCCTTTTTGTTTTTCATTCCAAAAGTCTTGTCATCAGCGACTTTTTCCTTCTTTTTCTGGTCATTTTTACCGGCGGCTTGCTTTTTTGGCGGCATGGCTACTCTAAAAAAGAAGGAGGAGGGATTATTTATTAGAATTATTGTGTACTTTAAATGAGATGACAATAATAATATTATGTTTGATAATTACATTACTTCTCAATGAGTACATGAGTACATGCTGAAATGTATCAGTAATTCACTAATGGATAGAATTGGCATAAAATTGATATTTTTGTTTAACTGAGTTAAGGAACAACTGCACTGCTCCTGGCAAAATACTTTCTTCCTGCAGGACCTTGTGTTATCATACAGAGTTAGATCTGGCAAATGGAAATTCAACCGTATACTGAAAGGAGAGTACTTGGAGCTGTAGACAAAACCACCAGAATGTACTTCATCCTGCAACATGAAGGGAGCCGATACAACTTCAGTTATCTATTGCTGTTTTATTTATTAGAGTTGAACTTGGGTTTGCAAACATCTGTTATGTTTCACATCTCGGTCATCTGAGAAGCTAGAACTCTCTTTTTTTTTCAGAGCAATGTAATTTAAACAGCCAAAAATAAATTCAATACATATTGGCTAGATCCAATCATTTAATCAATCAAATAAATGCAAAAATGAACTTTCATTAAAAAAAATGAACATCAAATATTTTTTGATTTAACATATTCCTCGAATGAGTGGTAATAGTAAGTCGCACCAAAAAAGAATTATTGGGCACTAGGAGCCATTGCTGTTCTTAGCAAAGGATTAGGATTTGTTCCAACCCCTAAGGTCAACATCCAAGAAGCAAGTCTCAACATGTGCCTTAATATCAACAATATTCTCAAATTCCAGCACCAACAGCATCAACACGCATAATTCATCATTAGAGGATCTATCCCAGCTTGATTCTACCCAGCCCCAACAGTGCCCACTCCCATCTAAGCACTCTATGAAATACTACGAGAGACAAATCCCAACGGAGGATCAGCCAGTCAATAAGATCGTAGACCTGACGGCCTCTGAGCTTGACCAACAGCTTTTAGCCAAAAATAAAGATACCCGTAAGAAGAATAAAAAATCTCTTAATAATCTGTGCAAAGAGGAGGCTAAAGGTATGAAATGGCTAGATTAGATTACAGAAACTGTAGCTGTTATTGAAGCCCTATATAATAGGGGGGTCAAAAGTATTTTTGAGAATTTTTGAATCTGAGAATTTTAACATTTTCGCCGGGAATACTCAAAAATATCTCAAAAATTATTTTTGAATCTGAAAAATTTAGCATGGATTTCTCATTTTCTCAAAAATTGTCCACTCAAAAATTATTTTCGAATGAGAATGACAATGAGAATTTGGCCATTTTCGTTGAGACTCTCAAACATACTCATGAACCCCCCCCCCCCCCCCCCCCCTATATAATGCCACGAGTTCTTGTTGTAGAGACTAGAGATTGGTCTGAAGAATTTTATCCTAAGCACATGGTCACCAACATCTTCAACAAAGTATTCAATTCAGAACGTCCAGCCCTGCAAGTCAGAAAAGCCTGTCACCCAGAATGAACACCCGACCTCTTGGCTCTTACCTTCCTATCATAAGAGTAATCTCCACTTTTGAAGGTGATGAAGCTCAAGTAAATTCTAATTCTAATTCTAATTCTAATTTAGTAGATATTACTAAAATGTATGAGCCCCATCTCTCACACACTAGATCCTTCATTAAAAGCAATGCTGCCTCACAAAATCTACCAGCTTCTCCCGTTGGCACTCTATAAACAGTGTTTGAGTTTTGACTGATTTTAACATGCTTGCAGCAGATTGAAGCATCTCTAAATTAATTACTATTTATATTGTATTACTGTGTAAGTTTGATTCTAATTCAAACACCACAATTTAAAATATTGGTAGGAATGTATTGTGCTCTGCCAATTGCAACACTTAAACAAATTTGATTCTGCCACTTGCATCACTTCATTTAATTGAATGTATACATTGTTTGAATGACGTTTACACCAATAAACGCCACATACGCCTATATATATACAGGGTGGCCCATAAGTGACTACCCACACGCAACCTCTTTATAACTCACGTAATTCGTCTCCAAATTGCACCAAAATTTCAGAGATTATAGATATGGGTCAAACTTAGATTTCCTGAAAGTTTCGTAAGCCACGCCCAATTACAGTGGGCGTGGCGTGACACTCCCTCTTTTTCACTATTGTCTTCATAAAATGAGAACGCTTTAAGCTAAGAACTCAAAATTTTTTGCACACATTTGGCTTGATAATTGAAAACTTTTCCAAAAGTTTCAAGTTCATTGGTTAAAATATGGCTGAGTTATGACCATTTTAAAATCCATCGGATATGTGATCCGAGCACTCAGTCAGTGATATTTGCACTCAATTAGTGATCTCGTCACCCAATCTGATCAAGAGTAAGGCGTTAGCGTGTATTAACGCTGGTTCATTAAGCTTTGATTGGATACCGATGATGACTTTGCTAGAAAGGAAAACACAAATTTTTAGGATAAATCAAAGTATGGATCCACATTCTGCTTCGACAGGAATGTGTTGGCGAAATCTATCCTCGATTGGAAATCACGGTCCAAAAGTTTGTGTTTCTTTGTGATTCGGTAGGCCCGGTTAGAAAGGTCTTGCTTTAGGATTCGCTGAAGGGTTGTTCTGCTGATGTCTAAGGCAGGAGCTCGTTTCCGGGTGCCAATCTTAGGTGTGTCCATTACGTCACCAACAACCATCGTGATGTTTTCGACAGTCCTCGAAGTTCGTCTTCTGCCGACTCTTCGCCGATCGTGTGCAGAAAACGTAAACTTGATCTTGTGATGAATGTCAAAGCAGCTTTTCCGGCAAGGGGGTGGTCGGTTGAATTTCATCTGAAATTGTCGTTTAATCTGAGGGTAGAACACCCCATTTTCTTTCTTCAGGTAGACGAACAATCGTTGTTCTGCAGTAAAGGGAGGATAGTGAACCATTTTCGATGATTCAATGGATGGTTCATTCCTTTTTATTGATTGTAAGGAACCTGTGACTAGCAGGGCTAACAAGCCCTGAAATGGTGACACCACCATAAATTCGTGTGATAGCGTTTTAGGTGCTGTCAGCTGTATAGGCCGGCCCACATGCAACCAATCAAGCGGTGCATGTGAGCCAAACAGGCCATTAACCAAGTGACGAGATCACTGACTGAGTGCTCGGATCACGTATCCGATGAGTTTTGAAATGGTCATAACTTAGCCATATTTTAACCAATGAACTTGAAACTTTTGGAAAAGTTTTCAATTATCAAGCCAAATGTGTGCAAAAAATTTTGAGTTCTTAGCTTAAAGCGTTCTCATTTTATGAAGACAATAGTGAAAAAGAGGGAGTGTCACACCACGCCCACTGTAATTGGGTGTGGCTTACGAAACTTTCAGGAAATCTAAGTTTGACCCATATCTATAATCTCTGAAATTTTGGTGCAATTTGGAGACGAATTACGTGAGTTATAAAGAGGTTGCGTGTGGGTAGTCACTTATGGGCCACCCTGTACTACTGGAAAGTATGTCAAAAAAGACTTGTGTCAGCCTAGCTTGGCCTTGGTCAAAGTCAAACAACTAGCTTTGTTTTATTGACTTTTGTTTTATTTAAGGTGGCCAACATTTTTTTTTTTTTTTTTAAGAGAGGCTTGGGCCAAGATAGCCCACGAGAGGATAGCATTGAGATGCTCTGCCTACCTCTGGGGTGTGGCAACCTTGGGGAAGGTTGCCGGTGAAATCAGAGTGATTGGTGGAGGATGGTGTAAGATGATATATGAGTCAAAATGATACGCTTAAATGCCAGCTGGGTTTGGAAAAGTAAAACGAGACGAGACAGCATATGAGATAATACTTTAAGTCACCCCGGTCTGATCCAGCTCTTCCGGCACAATTAAGCGTTTGGTGCGGTTTGCGAAATTGACAATTGTGGTGATGTGTTGGTTGTCAAATATGTCATTGACAGAGAGGTAGTAGTCCTGGAAATAACATATGGTGGCCAACATGGTCCAACTAAAAGGTGCATCAGCAGATCATGTTATGATATTGATTGAAATAAATTTTCGTGCACATACAGAATGAATGGTTAATAATTTAATATATATGTAGACCAAGCTCTGTGCACGGGATGCTTCCTGGAAGAATCCAGTTCTTTTAGCGGGGCACCCTACCTAAAGCCAAATTGAGATATAATAATCATATTCCTAGGGAAATAATCAGAAATCGAATACCAATCAAATAATATGATATATAGGAGTAGTAACCATATTTACTATGCAAAATGCCCCAACCTCATAGTGTAAATTTATATAAAATTCAAATTCCTCATAGTGTAAATTTATATAAAATTCAAATTCCATACCACCACTAAACCCCAACATAACAGTCAACACAACATCCCAAGCAAAATTAAATAACTTCTTATATACTATCATACTACAAATTAATTAAACATTTGAAATCTGTTAACCAGAGAATAAATTTCTAAACCTAATGCAAGTGAAATAATTTAGATGCAATAATATGTAAATGTTGTCCCTTGATATAATGATATCGGGCACCCTAACATTCAGAGTCAATGTTAAACTCGTAAAGTCTGCACCAGAAGATTGTGCAATTTCAGTTATAAATAATACGTCGCCTAAAACCTTAGAAGTTCGTGAAAATAATTTCACCACCTGCCTAAGACAGTGCGCCCAGCGCCCACTGGGAATTGAAAGGTCAGCTCCTTTGGTCTTCCACTTCTCCACGTTTAGGTAAATTATTTTAAACAGAATTGTATAAATCTTATGAAATAATTGAACGTGACCGTTTTAAAACAATGGTAATTGTTTAACTATAAAAAACTTGACATTTCCAAACACAATTTTGTCTTCTAAGGTACGACTATATGGAACAGCTTGGTTGATAAAATATTCGATAAATGCACTCCTAATGAAAACAATGTCATAGTCCCTGGCTCTAGTAAATTTTCCGACCTTTCCTCCACCATCTCAATTATAAAGAGCCGTATCAAAAAGCTTTTACTTGAAACCCAGCAATTGGCAACACCTGGGCGAGAAATTGAGTGGCTCCCCCTAAATAGCTGGGGCATTGAACCAGCTTAGTCAATCAGCATCCCATCCCTTGCATACAATTAATTACAAAAGCGCTAATTGTACCTGTTTCAAAAGCATCCTGTCTGGAAGTTCCATGACTGCCGTGTGAATCTTTGGATTTATTTTTGGATCTATTTTTATATAGATATGATTTTTATATATCTATATATATATTCCTCGCATTATTTCCATGTCCGCCTGAACAAACCTGGCACCATCAAATCTTACCTCAAGAAAACCCAGAACTCATCAAGCCTAGTCGGAATTCTAAACTAGTTGACCAGCTACGTACAGTTTCCTGGACAACTGGAACCTTTTTATATTTGGGCCATGCACTAGCCAATAGCACATACATATGGTCCTGCAGTGGGGTCTCCTTGTCCTTGGATCTGTGTTTTGATCCATCTTTTTATAAAATTTTCCATTTGTGCCCCACATCTCTGAAGCCATGGAGCCGCTAGAACATGAGATAAGACAAAAGCTCCTGCCAAAGATGCTGGGCAGGGATATCTCAGACTTAGAAAGAGACGTGTTAAGTCTACCAATAAGATTGGGAGGATTGGGCAATGGTAAACCCCACGAAGGCTTGAGCCGCGCCGCATAAGAACAGATTCGTGAAGGGGCTGGAGTACGCTTGTTTATAGATTAATGAAACGTTGCATTGTAAATATTTAGAATTGACGATATATCATGATCTAATAGTAAATTTTATTACAAAGCTGGCTTTGGATTTAGGTAAGATTGAAGATTATAATTTATTTTAAAAACCATGGATAGTTTTAAATTTATTTCTATTGGTCGTATAATTATAAACAAGTTAATCCTGTTTTCATGAATGCGCGGCTTTGGCGGCCAGTTATTAACTTATATTTTAAATTGAATTTTTAAATAGAAATGTGAATATATTAAAATTTAAAACTTTCAAAACGGAGGCTTATAAATATTATTATATTATGATTGTAAAATAAAGGATAAAATTTTAAATTTGTTTCACTAAAATTTGTTTCACTTCTCACCTGTAAGCTAGGGGGCTACGTGATAATGACCCACAACAACATCAGAGACACAATGGAAAATCTCCTTCGTGAGGTATGTCATGATGTAAAAGTTGAACCCCAGCTACAGAAGGTAAATTAGGGTGACAGCCTCAACCCCAAGACTATAACAGGTGACCAAGCTCGGCTTGATGTATCTGCTAGACTCCATTTGATAAGACCTTTCTTGACATAAGGGTTTCACACCCCAATTGCTTATCAAACAGGACAACAACTCTTCAAGAAGTATACGAAGAGAAAGAGGAGAAGAAGGACGAGTACTTGGAGAGAGTGTTGAATGTGGAGAAGGCTACCTTCACCCCGGCTGTATTCCTCACATCTGGAGGAATGTCTAAAGAGTGTAAGCAGTTCGTCAACAGAGTAGCAGACCTCATTGCAAGAAAAAGGAAGGAGAGGCCAGGTACTGCGATGTAGTAAGACACGTGAGAACTATGATAAGATTTGCAATGTTGAGAACAACCCTTATAGCTCTACGAGGGTACCGAGGAAAGAAGGTGGACACCAAACGTGAGATTCAGCTATCAGAAGTTTCATACAACCTCATCCCTGCCCCTATAATGGAGTAGATCATGTGTTTTGTTAAAATGTTTTTTGAAAAAATTATTGGTAGCAATGAATTGTGCTCTGCTAATTGCAACACTTAAAATTTGATTGTGCTCTGCCAATTGCATCACTTGATTTAATTGAATGTATGTATACTGTTTGACACACTTTTCTGATATTTGTATCACTTAGACTCACCTATTAAATGTTAATCGACACCACTGGTCCTAGTTAGATTTAGCCATGGCACGACTACTCAAACGTAACAGTTTAATATGTGTGACATACTATTATTTTCTTATAATTATATCATATGAGTTGATTGCACTGCTAATAAGTAAAATACTTTGTTTTACTAAATACTTTGTTTCACTTAGACACCCTCGAAAATGAATAAACCACTAAAATAATTAATTGGGCAGCTTATTTATATATTTCCATTTGATGCAATTTTGGGAGATTTTTCAATCGCACAAATTATTTTTATTTTAGGCTGATATGTTGACCATTGTTAATGATCTGGCCCGCCGCGCGTTACTTCGTAGCTCTTGCCATCGAGAAGAAAGCGGCGCGCGCTACTTCGAAGAAATTTAGACGAGTAACATCCGTCAAGCTGATATGCTACTGACGATAGCTCAAAACTGAAAACATGTTTAGCAAATGCCTCATCACGATATAATTCAGCTATTTTAAAGATTTACACTCATCATTTGTTCAATTGGCATCAATTTATCCTCATGTCCCATTTTTACTGGGCGGCGCTCAGCCTGTCATTTTACCTGAGGACCCAAGCTGTTTATATGTTCATAAACATAGCCTGGCGTAATTGAACCCTCTGATCTAATACGCGCAAATAGGCGCGTTTTTGCGATTTTACAATCAAATAATCAGATTTTACAATATAACTGAGCGCGCGGCTTTTGTAGCGCATACATCACTTCTTTCTTAATGGTATTTGGCGTGCACGTGATCTTTTGCGCGGCTGTAATTGGTTTTGACCGATCACGTGAATGCGAGTCACGTGCGCTCTAACATCCAATGAGCATTCGCACTTTTTTCCAAGGCGATGGAAGTCGTAATTCACTCAGCTCGAATAAAGATTCGGCGGAATGACTGGCTTAGCGCCGCCCAGTAAACTGTCATTCCGCCGAATCTTAAAATTTGGCGGAAACCATTTTAGGCATGATAATCAACAATGATATCGTTTATACTTAACTGTCTGAATTAATTTAATTGACGATGTCAATTCATGGCAGCTCGGCGCGGCACAGTAGCGCATTTCGCCGATCTAGCCAGATGTCGCTGTGAGCAGTGAGAAGCCTTATTGAGTGCGCGGCGCGGCACAGTAACGCATCGCGCTACAAGAATTAATTGACATTAATAAACTTTCAATTGTTTTAATGTTTTAGTATACAATTTTTTTGGTTTACTTTCATTTTTAGCTTTATTAGAATTAACAAAAATTGCATAACACTCAAAACAAAAGAATACAAAGCAACCTTTTTTCTGCAACGCAAAAATGATAGTTCGCGCGGCGAGTCGCCGTATATAATACAAGCTTCTCTGATCTTACTAAACTATTTTAAAAAGGCGTACGGTATATAATTTCCGCCGAAAACGCATAAAATTTGATAGGTATCAAACATGTTTATAACTTACCTGGGTACCCCATGCTATTATGTTCACAAACTAACGAATAAATATTTGGCGGAATGCAATGACAGGCTAGGCTGAGCGCCGCCCAATATGTTTTTAACCTGCTTGATTACTCACTAATTGGACGTTTTACTTACGACCAATACACAATATTGAACGGCGCGTTGAAATCACTTTTGAGGTACCTCAACCATTAACAAAAATATTTTACGCTATTGTGCCTTTCACGCAAAAATTTGCCAAAAATTTGAAATCAGACGAGCCATTGAGAAGGAAGGAAAAGATTCTGTTAAAGACAAAGACAAAGACAAAGACAAGGACAAAGACAAAGACAAAGACAAAGACAAAGACAAAGACAAAGACAAAGACAAAGACAAAGAAAAAGTCAAAGACAAAGACAAAGACAAAGACAAAGACAAAGACAAAGACAAAGACAAAGACAAAGACAAAGACAAAGACAAAGACAAAGACAAAGACAAAGACAAAGACAAAGACAAAGACAAAGACAAAGAAAAAGACAAAGACAAAGATATAAACAAAGACAAAGACAAAGACAAAGATATAAACAAAGACAAAGACAAAGACAAAAACCAAGACAAAGACAAAGACAAAGACAACGACAACGACAAAGACAAAGACAAAGACAAAGACAAAGACAAAGATCCTGTTCTTGATAAAGACTTCGTCTTTGATAAATTCTCTGAGATAACAGCTGATGAACTCAAAGACCTGGTATCGAAGATGTCTAACAAGTTCTGCTGCTTGGATCCGATCCCAGCATTTCTCTTAAAAAACTGTGTCGCTGAACTGACACCTATTTTACTCCACGTCTTGAACTCATCCTTAAAGACTGGAATCTTTCCCTCAGATATGAAGAAAGCAGTCATCAAGCCGACTTTGAAGAAGGAAAATGCTGATGTTGATATTCTCAGTAACTATCGACCAGTCTCTAACCTCTCTGCCTTCTCCAAGATCCTAGAGAGAACTGTACTTAACCAGCTCAACGTCCATCTCACGACACATAGCCTCTACTCGGACGTCCAATCTGGATACCGCCCTAACCACAGCTGTGAAACATTACTTGTAAGAATGTGTGATGATCTTAACAAAGAAATTGAAGCTGGGAATGTTGTTATTGTTGTACTTCTCGACTTAAGTGCAGCGTTTGATACCATTGACCACACAGTCTTATTGGAAAAGCTTATGAAAGACTATGGAATTACTGGAAGTGCACTGCAATGGATAAAGTCCTACCTTGAGAAGAGACACTTCTGTGTGAAGATTGACGATACTCTTTCTACTTTCTTGGAGCTTTTGTTTGGAGTTCCCCAGGGATCACTCTTGGGGCCTATTCTTTTCATCCTCTATATCAAAGCTCTCCAAGAAATTGCTGCCAAATATGGTCTTGATATACAGCTATATGCAGATGATTCCCACCTGTACATCTCGTTTCAACCAAACCGTGTGGTACAGTTCACTGATGTCCAAGACAGGACAAACAAATGTCTTGCAGAGATCAAAACATGGATGGTGAACAATTACATGAAACTGAATGAAACAAAGACAGAACTACTGGTGTTAGGAAAGAGCCATGTTCTAAAAAAGTGTGAACTCAGTGTCAGACTACAATTCGGAAGCACTGAAATTCTACCTACGGAGTGCAAAGGAGACAGCTGGAAGAGTCTAGGTGTCAAATTTGATGAAACTTTAAACATGGAAAGACAAATAAATAATGTGAAAAGGAAATGTAGCTGGACAATGATGAACTTAAGAACTATTGGTCGTTACCTGGATGAAGGCATTAAATTGATGTTGGTGAAACAACTGGTTATATCTAAATTAGATTACTGTAATTCTCTGTACATGAATCTACCCAAGACCAGATTAAACAAACTTAGATCCACCCTTAATGGGGCAGTTCGTTTCATCTATAACATAGAAGACAGAACCACGGACTTGGTTCCCTTCTATAAGAAGGCCCACATACTCCCTATAGACCAACGAATCTTCTTTAAGGTTTGTCTTTTAACCCACAAATCAGTTCACGGTACTGCACCTGATTACCTAAAAGCATTACTAGATGTGGCTGTAGTGGATACAGAACTTTCAAACACCATGACCAGGTCGAAAAGATCTGGTGACCATCTCATGTTAAAGGTACCAAAGAATAAAAGGTCAAAAGTTGATGACAGACGTTTCTCAAGCCATGCACCGATTGCATGGAACTCTCTTCCAATGATGTTGAGATGTATTACTGATACCAACTGCTTCAAGCGAATGTTAAAGAACCATTTATATAATCAGTTTTGATGTTTTTTCTTCCCATTTGTCTTCACTTTGCAAGACACATTGGCTTTTATTTTTTACTGCACTCCATTTTATGTCTTGATCTCTACCTTTCTAGGATCTGTCTCTCTTTTTTGTTGATCATGTCACTGTATTATCATTTATAATGCCTACACGTATTGTATGGTTTCTGCTTCTTCTTAGTTTAGTGTGGTGTTTACAATAAAAGATGTTTTAATTTTGTCTTAAGCCTTTTTGAGTTATACTTTTGTTCATTTTACACATTTGCCCACATTACTCACAGTCAGCCGCTCTGACATGGTTAACCTCTTCCTTGTGTTGTTGGTTAATCATATGAGCGGGATATAAATACCTCATTTCATTTCATTTCATTTCATTTCAATCGTTGCTCTGCGAAGCAAAGCATGTTGTAGCGCGATGCACTACTGGGTCGCGCGCGCATCAAATAATGCTTCTCGGTAGATCGGCGAGATGCACCACTGTGCCTCACCGAGCTGCAACCCAGGAAACCCTACCGGCTGGGGTATATCTCCAAAAGTAAAATAGATAGAACCTTCCGGTTTTCAACAAAATTTCCGTCTCGTAAATTTAAAGTTAGCTCCCCAGGAGCCAAATTTGAGACAACGTAGATTCTGAATTAAACCGAAAAGTTTGATTTTGGGCTAAATAAAAGATCACAGCTTTTAAACTTTGCAAAGAAATGTCGTTGTCATGACTACTAGGCTCAATGCAGCGTGCGAAAGGTAAACTTGACGTGACGCGCGACGCCAAACGTGCTGTTGAGAATCTATAACCTCTAGCAAGCCCAGCAGCCGGTAAGGTTTTCTGGGAAAGGATTGACATCGTGAATCAACAAAGCATGGAGCAACGATCGACGCGGACGATGGGAAGCAAAAATGCGAAGCAAGAATGCTAGTTTGCGTGGTGCGTCGAAGTCCTCCAATTCAAGTGATTTCAAATTTGTTCATGTTTCTCTGACCATGATGCGAGAGCCCTCGCGCTTGCAGTAGCGCGCGTCCGCTCAATTGTAGGTTTATAACATATAACCTACCAGGACGCGCGCCGAGTTAGACTCGTCAACGGTCCTAATAACATTTTTGGATATATTTGAAATAAATATTTTACGATCAGCATTATCCGTTAATTTCTGGACAAAAATTTCATCCAATACACAATAGCTATTTAATATGTGCTCAGAAAATTTCATATTAGAGAATTTTACAGGATTTTGAAAATGCAACTTTTCGTTTTGTTAGCTTTCTGCTGTGTGCTTCCTCCGACCGAAATCCAGGGTTGGGAAAAATTAAACGTTTTTTGCGTTTTTTTTAAAGAACTGCGGCGTTTTTTGCGTTTTTTAAGACGAATTTGCGGTTTTTTTAAAATGCCAAAAATCAACAAATTTCACGCAACCAGCGGTAGTTAAACATTTTAAATTTCAACTACATTTACAATCATCGTCAAAGATTAATTGAACTGCATGGATTAGTAAATATTTGTCATAACATCCAAGTGAACATTCTCAATTCTAGAAGACTAATTCTATAAATAGTAAATACACAGTACTATACAGTGTATACGTTTAGTCTAGCTGTTTCATATTTGGCGGGATATCATTATATCAGGTTACCATTGACCATGACACGTGCGCGCCAAACTACTATACCGAGAACCGAGGCAGAAACTCAATTTTTATTTGTAACTGTTTCACTTTATTTTAGTTTTACATATTATATATTACACAGTACAATTATAAATATTACTCAATCAAGTGCTCACTCAATAGTATAGTGCTCACTCAATAGTATAGTGACAACTGACAATTCTGGATGATGATTAATCACTCTACACTCGACTGTCCCGTGACTTTTTCAACTTGTTCTCTAGCTGTTCTTTACTGGTTCTGAACGACTTTTCGAAACCCTAACCCTCTAATCTGATCCCAACCCTAACTCTAATATAACCCTTCTAAGTACCAACATTTCAAGTTCATACGCCTACGGCAATGTATCAACGTTATCACGATTTTAAAACGTGTTAATAATCATTTACTTAAGTTGGTTATTAATGCTTCTCTTTTAGAAGGTATGATATAATGGCTTTACGGAACTACACACACTTCCCCTCGAAAGATGCAACAAAACAAGTTTATATCCTCGCTATTTGTGTTATATGTAAAATAACTTGAGAAGCATGTGTTATGTGTTAGCGATCAACCAACCATCTGCCAATTAACCAGGATAAAACAGCCATGCATGATGCACCACCTCCCCGCTATTATCCAGGCAGCTGTAAGTGTAACTTTACGACTACAAATAACGATAACTCTTGATTTCCACAGTCCGGTTATCATACTAAACAGTGAGGAAACGAAGCCTAAAGGAAATCCCAAATGTGCTAGAGTCTGTGCTGGAACTACAGGTAATTGTTTTACATTATTTTTATTCCGAGCTGATGTAGCTAACATTGGCATTATAACTACAAGTACAAAAGCCACATTCCACTGTCCACAGCTTTACGATCAGTCGAGTCTTGGCATGGTTATCTACAATTTATCAAGAATAATCTTGAACATCGTCTCTTCAAATGATAAGATCATTTTCTTAATAACATAATAGTTGTAATACTGGCTATTATAATAATAATACTGCATAACATCTGACATCCGCAAAGTTGTACGTGCGTCTAATGCGCGCGTTCTTTCTGTCAAGGTGTATAAAAAACTTTACCCTTTTATTATAAATTAAATTGAGCGTCATACATTTCAGCTCAACTTCAAATGTAACCGAAAAAACGGTTCCACCTGATCATCCTCAATAAATAAAAACAAGTTACTGTTCTAATATTGTGTGCATGATAATTGAAATGGCATCATTCTTAAGAGCAGCTGGATGTGTAATAATAATTTCGATACCAAAATGGTTATAAACTTCTCAGTAAACAACTTCTGAACCTTCAAGGCGCAAAAGATCAATTGTATAGGAATATTCACCTTAAAACGTTCAAACTTGTCCTCAAAGGAAATTTGATGATACTATTTACTATAGTAAACTCAGAAGAAAAGTCTTATCCTAATTTTAGTTCAGTGCTTATGTAGTTTTTGGAGGTCAAAAGTGGCACCCGTTTCCACAAAATGTTTCATTTAAAATCGAAGTTTAGATGACAGTATCACGAGTATTTTACATCACGAGCGAGTAGATGACAGCGATGAGTGGCAGAAGGACTGCAGTATTGGTAGTAGCACTGTTACACTCGTCAGTGTCACACTCAACACAAGTGTCAGTAGTAGCATTAGTAGCACAGGGTCCACATCCATTGTCAGGGAACGAGTAGTCGGCATCAGCTGCTGTACCTGGCCTGGATAAATACGAAGATCGTAAGTTATTTAGAGCAAAAAAAGCGCATTTTTCGGCAAATACAGGGTGTCCCTAAAAAGACTACCCAATAAGAAACCCTCCTTATTTTCTCAGTTTTAACTAATTGGTTTTGATCTTATAGTATGACTATTTCTGTCAAGGTGTATAAAAAACTTTACCCTTTTATTATAAATTAAATTGAGCGTCATACATTTCAGTTCAACTTCAAATGTAACCGAAAAAACGGTTCCACCTGATCATCCTCAATAAATAAAAACAAGTTACTGTTCTAATATTGTGTGCATGATAATTGAAATGGCATCATTCTTAAGAGCAGCTGGATGTGTAATAATAATTTCGATACCAAAATGGTTATAAACTTCTCAGTAAACAACTTCTGAACCTTCAAGGCGCAAAAGATCAATTGTATAGGAATATTCACCTTAAAACGTTCAAACTTGTCCTCAAAGGAAATTTGATGATACTATTTACTATAGTAAACTCAGAAGAAAAGTCTTATCCTAATTTTAGTTCAGTGCTTATGTAGTTTTTGGAGGTCAAAAGTGGCACCCGTTTCCACAAAATGTTTCATTTAAAATCGAAGTTTAGATGACAGTATCACGAGTATTTTACATCACGAGCGAGTAGATGACAGCGATGAGTGGCAGAAGGACTGCAGTATTGGTAGTAGCACTGTTACACTCGTCAGTGTCACACTCAACACAAGTGTCAGTAGTAGCATTAGTAGCACAGGGTCCACATCCATTGTCAGGGAACGAGTAGTCGGCATCAGCTGCTGTACCTGGCCTGGATAAATACGAAGATCGTAAGTTATTTAGAGCAAAAAAAGCGCATTTTTCGGCAAATACAGGGTGTCCCTAAAAAGACTACCCAATAAGAAACCCTCCTTATTTTCTCAGTTTTAACTAATTGGTTTTGATCTTATAGTATGACTATTTCTGTCAAGGTGTATAAAAAACTTTACCCTTTTATTATAAATTAAATTGAGCGTCATACATTTCAGTTCAACTTCAAATGTAACCGAAAAAACGGTTCCACCTGATCATCCTCAATGAATAAAAACAAGTTACTGTTCTAATATTGTGTGCATGATAATTGAAATGGCATCATTCTTAAGAGCAGCTGGATGTGTAATAATAATTTCGATACCAAAATGGTTATAAACTTCTCAGTAAACAACTTCTGAACCTTCAAGGCGCAAAAGATCAATTGTATAGGAATATTCACCTTAAAACGTTCAAACTTGTCCTCAAAGGAAATTTGATGATACTATTTACTATAGTAAACTCAGAAGAAAAGTCTTATCCTAATTTTAGTTCAGTGCTTATGTAGTTTTTGGAGGTCAAAAGTGGCACCCGTTTCCACAAAATGTTTCATTTAAAATCGAAGTTTAGATGACAGTATCACGAGTATTTTACATCACGAGCGAGTAGATGACAGCGATGAGTGGCAGAAGGACTGCAGTATTGGTAGTAGCACTGTTACACTCGTCAGTGTCACACTCAACACAAGTGTCAGTAGTAGCATTAGTAGCACAGGGTCCACATCCATTGTCAGGGAACGAGTAGTCGGCATCAGCTGCTGTACCTGGCCTGGATAAATACGAAGATCGTAAGTTATTTAGAGCAAAAAAAGCGCATTTTTCGGCAAATACAGGGTGTCCCAAAAAAGACTACCCAATAAGAAACCCTCCTTATTTTCTCAGTTTTAACTCATTGGTTTTGATCTTATAGTATGACTATTTCTGTCAAGGTGTATAAAAAACTTTACCCTTTTATTATAAATTAAATTGAGCGTCATACATTTCAGTTCAACTTCAAATGTAACCGAAAAAACGGTTCCACCTGATCATCCTCAATAAATAAAAACAAGTTACTGTTCTAATATTGTGTGCATGATAATTGAAATGGCATCATTCTTAAGGGCAGCTGGATGTGTAATACCAAAATAGTTCTCAAATTCTCGGCGAACAACTTCTGAAACCCAAGGCGGAAAAGATCAATTTTATAGAAATATTCACTGTAAAACCTTCAAACTTGACCTCAAAAGAAAATTAGATGTATTTACTGTAGTAAAATATTTTAAATTAGATCAGAAGAAAAGGCCTATCCTAATCTTAGTCCAGTACTTATGTAGTTTTTGCAGATAAAAAGTGGCATTTGATTCCACAAAATGTTTCATTTAAAATCGATGTTATGATGGTAATGTCACAAATATACATCACAAGCGAGTAGATGACTGTGATGAGTGGTAGAAATGTAGCAGTGAAGATAGTAGCACTGTTCTCCTCGTTACAGCTGTCAGTGTCACACTCAACACAAGTGTTGTTAGCAGCATCAGTTGCACAAGGTCCACATCCATTGTTAAGGAATGAGTAGTCTGCATCAGCTGCTGTACCCGGCCTGGGGAATGAGACATTTACATTTTCCTATATCCAATAATTCGTTCTTCCTATAATACTGCGATTGGAGTTCCGTGCCATATTTGATACATCAGCAGAACTTCAATGAACCTTCGGAAATGCCGTCATATCATGGAAAAGATGTCATACCGTGATTTATGTTACAAACTGAAATTTACTGAATCACGTCGATTTGCAGGAGAGCTTAAATTATGACTCTATCTAATTTGAGCCTCAGCCAACTGTGTAAAAGGGTCGGAGTAGTTCAGTCTTTTGTTAAACTGAGAAACTGCATTTTTGGTAATTAATTTAAGTTAAGTTCAGGCTTGTTCAAACAGATTTCTGGACAAATTCATGAAAATTCAACTGCAATTTTACCAATTATTCACGAGAAAAACACTAAAAAGTGTATTTAAATTTTTAAAATATTAGATCCGTAAAGTATCAGAGAAGGTATCTGATGGATTTCCATTGAATTTCAGCAGGCACTATTATGGCAAGGAAGAATCTATGATCAATAAGTCACATCTAACATGTTGCATTTAATAGCAGTATCTTCCAGTCGATGACAAGTAGTGCCCTCTGTTTGCTTAACCCAGTCGGTAGCATCCCAGGTGTAGTTGTAGCATTTGAAACTTTCACCAACTTTATCGGGTGTGTTAGGGTAACCCCTAGTAATGTCTTTTCTAGCACTTTTAGATGTTGCAATGGTAGAGGTTGTCTCACTTGCTACAGTTTTAATCCTGTAAATACATTTAGGAGCAGTACTTTTAATAATGATTTTATCTTTGGACATACAAATTTTATCAAGAGTTTAAATTCCCAAATAGTCAGACTGAGCAGGTTGAGCTGTAGTAAAACACAGTACTGAGGTGTTAAAACATTTTCATTACTATCTTCAGTAACATCCTGAATCAGAAACTCGGTTAATATCAGTTCCTACAAAGTGTAACATTGGAAATGAAATGACACAACTAAAAACGATACCTATGAATATTTTTAAAAACATAACTTTTGTGCCCCAATGCAATGGAAAACCTTTAAGATAAATCCAATAATGGAATCCCAAACGGGTCCACGGCATTGAGCCCCAATGGACGTATAGTTCTTAGTTTCTGAATATAACGGTGTTCATCTACTTCTAGAGTTCTTGGACTACTATTACTGAGAATTGACACTTTATAAGCCTGGTTGAAATTGTCACGTTGTTTCATGTTATGAACTTCTACAAGGTGTAAAAACAAATTTTATATTTAATTGTAAAACTAATAATGTTATTTATGTTATTACCTGCAAGGTATTTATCCTTATATTTATTGTTGGTTTTTAGATTTTTATTTCATTTATCAGTTTAATTTGCAGAAACAAAAGTGGTTTCAATATTATCGATTATCCTTCTTCCAACTAATTCAAAAATAGGTACCATGGACACTGGATCTCAGCAACATACAGAAGATACTACCTGTCATCATTATAGAGTCTAATGAACTCTACCCACAGGTTAGTCAGGCAGTGGATCACACTCTGATGACATCTCCTTTTGGAGATTTTCGGACTCTCAGACTACCTACTACCTAGTTGAGTGTGTTCCATAACCTAGCACCCTGCCTAAACGTTCGGTAATCCTGGACCTATGTGGCAAGCCTGCTCCCTGAACAAAAAAAAAAGTGTTGTGTGGACGTGATACTGATATGCATGGCTGGTCATACAATTATCTAAATTCTCACGTGAGTAGGTTTGATTCGGGTACGAAAACGTTTTTTGAACGTTTTTGGGACGTTTTTTTAAAGAAAATGAAAAAAGTTGCGTTTTTTTGCTTTTTTTAAAGATTCCATTTGCGTTTTTCCCAACCCTGCCGAAATCAAACTTCCAGCGGCAGCACCTCAATCGTGACATTTAGCATCTATAGTTGACTTACTAATTGGTTGCGGGTAAAAAGATCAGTCAAAACTGTAAAATTGCGGTCCTGGAAATTTCATCCAATCTGTCAAATGTGTGTTCAGAAAATTTCATATAATTTGGAAGTGGGACAGAACTTGGATATCATGTAATATCATGAGGATGACAATATGACAATTAATTTTAATTGAATTGTGTATTACGGCATTGTTTCCTAGTTATTATATTTTATTAATTGTAAATCCAATTGTTCTTAAGATTTTTAAAACTGATTTATGAAACATTAATCTACTTTTGAAATTTGTTTATCTAATGACTGTTTCATTTGTTTGTGAGTACACTCCGGAAATCAAAATATCAGCTGCAGCCTCTCAAAACAGTGCGATTAGTTTATAATCGTAATTGCTAGCAATTACTAGAATAACAACAAAGTCGGTACGATTATAAACTAATTACACTGGTTATAACATCAGAGGCGTGGAGTTATACGCGAATCTAACTGCATGTATAATACGATTACACCAGTTATTGCACTCGGCTGCGCCTCGTGAAATAACTGCAATAATCGAACTCGGCTTCGCCTCGTGCGATTATTGTATCAATTTCCACTCGGCTGCGCCTCGTGCAATTAATAGTGTAATCGCATTATACGCAGTTAGATTAGCGTATATAATGTAATTTAATTAATGCTTATTTTAAGTCCGAGTACAAAAAGTAATCGAGCTATATACCAGCATTACAATTCAGCTATTAGTGATGCCAATTAAAAACACTTTCATTGGGGTCTTATAATAAGCAGTTACATCACTGCTTATAATGTGATAACATTATTTTCACAACTTTGAGTTGTGAAAATAGTTTTATCCAACGAGTTTGACGAGTTGGATAAAACGAGTTATATCCCGAGGTTTGACCGAGGTGTTTAACTCATGTTATCATATTATAAGCAGTGATGTAAATGCATTCTCTGATGATCTACGAAATGATGCTATAGCGAATGCAGCATTTACATCGGAAATTAACGACCGATAATATTACTACATATAACATTCCAGAGTCAAACTTTCTAGAGGACACATCCTTATCTTTTAAAATTGTTACAAGTCGCTGAGATGTTGCTAATTATTTTTAAAACAGAAAGTGGCATAGCTTATGTTCTGATAAATACTTTTGCTTCAAAATTTTACAGAATGTCAATAACAAGACGTAGTCAAACCTTTGTGGCAAGTTTTGATAGAAGTACCAGCTGTATAATCGTCTGTGTTTGTTATAAAAAAGCGTACTTTATCTTGGTTAACAACCATGCATCGTGCTCCCTGGATCAAATTTAGCTTCGAAAATTTTGTGATTTGCTAGTTAGTAGAAGTAGTAATAGTGAACTTACTCTCTTGGCGGCAGTCTTTCCTCCGTGATAGCTCTATCCAACTCTGTAATGTGTGTGACGTCACTTTTCAGAGTTGGTTGAGATGAACCAGGCTGCGCTTCTGTTGGCGAACTGAGCTTGATTTGATTTGAAACTTTTACAAAATAGCAAATATACAAATGTACAGCAAATCGAACAAACATATAAAATGGGCCGAAATGTATAAATGCTATAAAGCGTGGGTCAGTGAAACAAGTACAGAGGACAACTTTCAAAACAGGAGTTTTATGGCCGCCCAAAGTCTCAATAATATCACCTCCACCTAGTAATAAAATTATGAAATATGAAAAGTGTGAAACAATCAAATAATAAAATATTCAAAATATATAGTTGTCTCTTAAATACAGATAACGTCTAAAAATTCTTAAAATAATCATCACTCCTTCATATACTGATCAGTGTCTGAGAGACATGAATAACTCATGATGACTACTTATCACGGCTACATACCTTCCCGTACCGGATGTAGTGGTCGAGATGAGTCTGTTCAGCCCTCTTTTTCTTCAGGTCAGTGACCAGATGCTTCCTTGTTGCTCGTTCTTCGCTGGATCTGTCTGGACATATCCATACATCTTTGTGCGTCTCCCTCAGTCTCCCTGTTTTCATCAGAATCTGATGAACCGCTGTTGAGCTTGGGACGGTGATCTTGACTGGTCGGATAGCCGTACTACCTGGCCTCTTCCAACCGACTCTAGTCGCTTCGAAGTGAGGTTTTTCCCCGATCTCCTCCAAAACTGCGGTAACTAGCGCTGGAAGCTGTTCTTCGTCCTCTTCTTTCAGCCCAAACACGATCAGGTTCTTGCTCCTGTCCTCCTCTGCAGCCACACTCTTCATCACCTTCTTCAGGATTTTACTGTTGCAGACCGTACCACTTGCACTGTTCTGTTGAACAGCTGCACTATAGTTCTGAATCCCTGACTCCACCGTTGTTTGCTCTGTCTCCTCAACAGACGTCTTAAGCAACTGTAGTTGTTCGTCCTTCTGCATCAGCAGCTGGCCCTGCAGTCTGATCACCTTTTCTTTGTCTGCTAGTGCTTCCGTCTTGAAGCACTCGATGATCTCCTTATTTGAGAAATTGTATTATTCAGGATCTATTATTGGTAATCAAGGATATCAGCTGATACCAAGTAAAGATGTTTGAATGTAATTTTTTGATAACCGCACTGGTTACTCGTAATAACACATTTCAATACATACACTGCAAACCTCAATCTTCACGAAGTCGCAATGTTACCCTCTCTACACTGTTCTCTATAAAGCAGTTATCTTTAGTACTTTGAAAATGTTTTTGAAAATGTTTGTTCATGATTAACGCTTTAGTTTATTAATTCCGATGACGTTTGCCTTATTCCCAAATTTTTACTAATCTGGATATGGATGCGGGAAAAACGAAAGTATTTGCAGTGATCAAGGAGAAAACAACAGATGTCACAAATCAGATTACGAAATCTGTTCGTAAAGGATTCTGGAAAAGAATTGAGAATAGTAACACAACGAATGATAAAGCGAGGCTCGAACTAAATAACATGTCCAATCAGACCATCAACATCGAACACAAGGAACGATTTCTATCGGTGGAAGAACTTCTAAATCAGTTCATCGAGCCGAAACTCTCATTCTGTGTGAAATACACAGTCGCCAGCCTTGTGTTCCTTATCATACCCATGTTATTCGACTGGGTGGTATTTGCAGAACAGATTGATTACACTATGTGGCGGTGTGTGGACACGTCCACTGGTAAATGTAGCGATGCTACAAAGGGTGGATCCCTCTACTCTAGAGAGGTTTTCTGTTCTCTAAATCCTGTCGATCATATTCCTGTGCAAATGTATTCTTCAGACTTGACTACAAATAATAACGAAGCTAATGTCCCGTCTACAGCTGATTTAAGCAACTATTTCATAAGAGGAGTGGACTTTGTTTGGTCGGACAAAGTCAGCACCTACTTTCCCATAAAATGGAGTCTGTACTGTGACAGGGAGGGTAGTACGCACACAGAGTACATCTGGATCGGAGTACTGGTGAGTGGGATTATATCTGGATTAGTGGTAGATAAATGTGGCCGCAGAGCACCTCTCATGAGTTCGGCTCTGTTCGGCTCGCTTCTAGTCCTGGTGCAGGTTTTTTTTGGTTCATACTCCGTCCTGGTTGTGCTACAAGTGCTCCAGGGGGTAGTATACACATTGTACCTTATATCTAGTTTCATCTGGTTGTCTGAGAATATTCCAAAGAAATACCGGCATCTAACACTACTCCTGCTTTCGTCAGTTGGGGCTGTGGGACGGTTACTGTTTGCCGTGCTTGTTACGGAGTTATATAACTGGAAGGATATCACTATAGTGATACTGATCCTCTGTTGGGTATCTGGCTGCTGTTCTCTCTTCCTCCCGGAGTCAGTACAATTCCTCCTTTCCCACCACCTTGACAGGGAAGCGGACAGAGCGCTCACTAAAATCTCCTCTAAGTGGAGCTCCTTCTCCAGAATACTGAAGATAACAACTGCAACAGAAACCCACCACCGTGAGGAGGATCACTTCACGGCACTCTTCACTCACCGGAGCACAGGACTCAGAGTTCTGATAATTCTCTACTTGTGGGGCTCTGCACTCCTTCCTCTATCCAGTAAACTAGGTGGTGGTATGAGTCTGTCTGTGTACTACGTCATTAGAACTGCTGTATGTTGGTGTCTCCAGGCAGTCAGTATGGGTGTTTTACTGTACTTTCCAGCTAAAACACTGCTGAGTGTGGTGGTGTTGCTCAATGCTATCTGTAGTCTGCTCACTATAGTTAACAGCTCAGTTGTTCTGAATCTGGCAGTACAAGGTCTCACAGAAGTGTCATGCATCCTCCTCCTGCTGGTCACACACGAGGTGGTTCCCATGCCCCAGAGAGGCAGAGTGTTTGGGGTGGGGTTCAGTCTCCTCGGTGCTGCTTCCATCATCAACACAAGATATTTCAACCCTCAGGGCGGGGAGTCTGGTGATGAGATAAGGATCACTATCTCGGTTCTAATGCTGATTGGTGCTACCTTATCTTGTTTGTTACCCGTCACGAAAAGAAAAAGCTTGGATATACCCTTTACTATTGTTGAAGCTAAAGAGAAAGCACAAAGCAGGACTGTTATTATAAGTGAAAAAGACGTACTTTCTACCAGTCTAACGACTCATCCCGACGACAACAGGCAAGGAGACTCTGCAAGAGTTGAAACTATTTTTCCGAATAGGATTCAGATCATTCAATCTGATCAAGAGCAAGAATCGAACATCACGTATAATATGGAGGATGCAGACACAACTCGTGATAATATGGAGGATGCAAACACAACTCGTGATAATTTGAGGTTCATTAACTGCAGCCAGGACTCGGGAGTTAGCCAGTATATTTTCCTAGATAAGAATAACAAGCAGCTGGATATCAGAATTGAGAGGAAAAAGGGATCGTCAAAAGGGAAACAGAAAAAGAATCGTGCTGAAATAGATGCGGAAACTGCTTATTCTTCTTGCTCTGAAAGTGGTTCACTGGTTATAGTGAACGTCTACCGGGAAAACAAGCTTGAAAAATCTTACCTTCAAAAGAATCCGTCACTTGTACTCGAATGTGACTCCTCCGAAAAGAGTGGAATCAATGGTATTCATGTGATAGAATCTAAAGAAATCTGCAACTTAATTGAGAGGGTAGATGCGGCTGAGGTAAATGAAAAGTCAGAATGCGAACCAATCTATTATAAGTCAGTCGAAACGATTCCAGACTTTGCGCCAATATCCGAGGAAACATTTGAGAATGTCAAGAGTGTATCTCAAGAGACACTTTATGATAGTTTGTTTATTGAGGGTACTACAAAACAAATCTCCACTCTCACCAGGCAAGGGTCAGACGAACAAACGATTAGATTCTCCTCAGATTCATCAAGCTCAATTTCAGACACAGGTTCTGATTCGATAAGATGTAACACGCTCAGAAATTTCGACACATACATGAAACTGGAAAGGGTAACGGTGAGTAGTATCGGATCTTCAAGCAGTGGTGAAAAATGGCGGAACAAAATGAGGAATTTGGAGCTTCGGAATGACGGGGGAAATGTTGAGTACATCGAATATCAAACTCCAGAACCAGATGAACCAAATGAAGTCGTGAAGCCTAGTTGCACACTCAGATCAAGTGCCAACATGCAGACTGAGCTTCAGTTCAACCTCTACTCTGAGGATGGCTTCACTCCTACTTTGATTCCATTATTCGCACTAGCCATGGAGCTTAACTCTAATGAGCTCCTATTTGAGAGCGTTAACAGTGGAGAATCTTCTGAGAGCTACACTGCTGACAACTGGGAGATGAGAAGTTTGGAAACTGATTCAGAATTTTCCTCTGCTTATCGTGACCAGAGTGCTTTACATTAACGATTTTGTTTCGATTGGACAATATTGGTTTAACTTTCGGACCGTATTTAGACAGAGATTACTTAAACGGACATAATTTTGAACGGAAAGATTTCTTTTGAACGTCCATGGTAGTTAGACTTTGATTTAGACGAACATTACTTGCACGCTTATCCTCCCAGCGTTAACTTAATGTCCGACCAAATAAATTCCGATGAGGTATATTGTCTTAGTGTAGAAAGGTAACCACTAACCATGGTATCATTATATTAGTATAGAATGGTAACCATGCTAGCATTATATTAGTATAGAATGTTAACCATGGTTACCAACCCTTTTCTAGACGGTGTTAGAAAGAAAACAACAATTTCGTCTTAATGAGTGAAGAAAAGCAATATAATCATGAGTGAAGAAAAGCAATACAATCATGATTAACATATATTGCGAGCATTATAAATATAATAAATAATAATGGCTCAGCTCACATTAAAAAGTAAGGACTGTTTGAGTGTTGATTCGAAAATTCCTTTAATCATGGCAAGTGGTTGATTTAAGAGAGAGAAGATCAGTTTCTCTATGATCTAATGGTACCATTTAACAAAAACTTGTTTAATATGTAGATAATAGTCATACATTAATAGTCATACTATCCTATCAACTGGACATTTGAAAATTTGGTGACAAATTTTGCCTTGAGGACGAAACGATTATTTTAATCATTGGAGCTTTATAAAGTTTCATTAAAACAAATATTTCAACTATGTACCAGAAAAAACCATCATGTAATCTTTTTAAAAGAAACTCAAATAAACAGGTCACACCATTATAAGAAACTCATATAATCAGTCCACACCATTAAAATAAACTCATATTTATATATAAATATAATAACTATTTTAATATAAATAATAACTTTTCTAATAACTACCTTTTATTATAATCGTTTGAACAGCTCCAGAACTGAATTTTACCTTTCAATACTATGAGAGGATATCTCTCAGTGAGAGTCCAAACACCAGGTGTCAAGTTAACAAAGTACTCTAAAATCACCTTGCCGTCCTCGTAACGACAATCTGTTTTGTCTGTATCCAGAGTACACGCTGTGAGGGGAGTATTTTGTAGTAAGCGATACAATGATGGTTCATAGATGGTCACTTAAACTTTAAAGTCATGTGAGTGCCTTCGCTTGGCACTTTATCAAGTTTATGGTGCATTTTTAGATAATAAGTATTGAGAGCATTATATGCGTCATAAACATGCGAATGTACCAGTTTTATTATCATCGTCAACAGTCACCACGATAATTTTATAAAATCGTAAAACTACAGAAAACACTTACTTCCGTCATCCAAACACGTAACTTGATGTCTAAAACCACAATAAACATCGTTCGGTGAGTTCAGTTTTTCTTTCATTATTGCAATCGAATATTCACCAGTTGCTTCAGCAGTGCAAGGCGCTGGCTGAAATATATACTGTTAAAGTTGTGACAGGTATATATCTACAACGAGTACAACTTTCTTTGGCGAAAAAGCGGCTTGTATATTTTAAAAAGCGGCTTATATATAAGCGAAAAAGCGGCTTATATATAGCCTTTTTTTCTTACCTGTGAAAACTTTACAAATAAATGGAATTAATAAGTACTAAATAAAGCATATAAACAAATAAACAAAAAGCACCTGCTCTGCGCTGTTTGCAACAACCATCTTCTGCATTCCCGTGCCAGTGGACAATGGGTTTGTTTCTTGGCACCGGGCAAGGGAGTTGTCATACTTTCCAGTCTCCTTGGTGCAAGTTATTGCTGCAGCCGAGCCGGGCGCTGGAAAATGAGGTAAAAAGCTTGGGTTTTGGTTATGAATAGGGAAAGTGATATCACAAATAATAGAACGCAGGCAAGGTTCTAAAGATAACATTAATTTGATGTGTAATTATGCTTATTTTCAACAGATTGTGTAAAAAGTTTAGTAATAATACTCACGGGTAACTAATTCAAATCTAGCTTGGTCTGAGTTAACAGGGCAGGTTATAGTCTGCTTCAGAGAACCATCACCAAGATCTTCCTGTGCTATTGTCGCTCCATTTCCATCTGTATGGGAGGGTAGATGAGTTTTGAAGTAAGAATTAAAAACGTTTTGCAGATCTGGACTCAGATGCATGTTGTTGGGTTTATGTTGTTCTGTCCAGAACCTGGAACCCTTCAACCCTTAATTTGATTTAACCCCAATCGAAGATCTACCTCGGTACAAGTATTAAAGTTGCATATACTCTTGGCAAAAAGTCGGTCCAGAGAAACCAAAACCAGAGCGTTATTAAATCCAATGCTTGCAGGGAGATTGTTAATATAAAATTCTAAAAAAAGTTATATGACCTAGGATCAGGAGTGATGCTATACCTGGATTTAATGATTTCCATGTGACATCAGCACAATCGAAATATGTTGTGACTGTCAATTCTTTCTCTGTTTTCTGAGCTAATCCGTAGTCAGCCTGAAATAATATGGCGAATCTCGATAAGAAAAATGGATAAAAAGTGCTGAACTGCATTGTTCCCGAGGGGGATTATTTAAAAAATTTAAGTGATACGAAAAGATTGTATTAGCAGGAGCTTTCAAAATACACGTGTAAATCGTCTTCATAGCATTGTTCTATCAATCACGATTTATGCATTTTTAATAAATATTGATTATTTACAAAAATATTTTCGTTGTATTCAACGGGGCAAAGGAGTGTGCGTGCTGCTCGCTATTGCTCACACCAAACGGCAACCTAGTAAAAGTTTTGTATGGACACCGGTCTCCATCACGATACAACATTAGGATTGTGGAATTTATTTTATAACCTACAAGGAGTGGAGGGATCGGTGTGGTGCATTAATAGAGTGACAGCCTACTGATTTAGAGTTATTTTTAAGTGAGCATTATGGGTATATTTTTGGATCTAAAGGCTACCATCTATGGCAAATTTAAAATTGGTTCTTTTAATCATTTGTTTATTAAATATCAGTTTAAAAATATATAAATCTGGAATCTGTTCACACTGTGAACCATTCCTATAAAAAACCACAAAAACCCTCTTAAATTAAATATTAAAAACGTCTCAATAATGAACATAGTCATACAATTTAGAAATTTACCAAATTCTTAATATATACCTAAAAGAAAAATACCTACCTTAATTAATTTCTACCTGTAATACACTAAATATTAGGTAAATACATAGGTTGTGGAGTCAGCACACGTTTACCAAAATCAAAAATTTTTCAATAGGAGGAACCTGTGGCCCGAGAACACTGGATTAAATTTGTTTGTTGAAGGGGGTTGTTTTCAAATGACAGCTCCATTATTTCATAATCGCTTGCGGTCCATGCTGAATCATTATAAGCATGTTGCAGCTTTATGAGTGCCTTTTTTAGGCGACTTTAAGCAAGGCTTATCTTGTAGGAGTAGTCAAAAAGCTTAAGTTTAGGTGCAATTATGCTCCAAATTTTGGTGGATCTTGATATAAAGTCATTAGATGGGATTTGTGAAATGAGAGTGGTTTCCTTTCTAGAAGATAGCTGATAATACTGTTGCAGTGATGTTGGGCACCTTAGTTTTAGTATTTTAAAAACTTCCATAAATGTGTGATATGTATACAAATTTTTGGAAGCCATGATGTTTTGTTGCTTGAAAAGTGGTTTACAGTGCTCTAGTTGAAAGAATGTATGGTCAAGTGCATGGTTGTCAAACTCTCTTGTTCTTGCGCATGTTAGGAACTTGTTTAGGTAAGCCTCTTTATCACCAAAGAGGACCCGTACGCAGTGCTTCTGAGACAGCCAGATACTTGTTGTCCTAAAGAGTGCTGCATCACCCCAGACTGAGATACAATATGTAAGGTGGGATTCAAATAGGGTGTGGTAGATGTCTTTATGAAGTTCCTTCGGTACAGAGTCCCTAATTCTATTTTTAAGGTGACAGAGGCATATTTTAATTTTCGTTTACTTTAACAGGGTGCATGATAGTCAGCACATGACCCGTGAATCAAATTCTTAGTTGCCTGTTTAAATTCCTTCCCTATTTATCGTCTTAGTTGACAATTCCATTTTTAATCAATCTTCAGTCAGGACTTTAAACCAGGGGGAAGGGATCTATAAATGGCATCCGTACGGCAAATATAAAGTTGTGTGAAGCGTTTATTATACACACGTTCATCAAGTTATTCGGTTATACACAATTGTAAGCTTCTTTGTTAACAATAGCTTCGCGATGCTCTTTTTATGTCACATCGTAGCTATTGTATAAGTTGCTGGGGTGGGATCCCTAAACATAAGCTGAATAAAATCTTTGCAATTCAAAAACGATGTATAAGACTGCTATTTGGTAACATTCCTAATTTTGATCATAAAGAATACTACTTAACCTGTGCACGTTCAAGAACTTATAACGAACATATGGCTAGCAAGAACTACTGTCTTGAACACACTAAACCGCTATTCACTGAGCAGAAAATTATCAACCTGGAGAATCTGCACATGTACCATACATTTATGGAACTATTCAAAATTCTTAAATTTGATGTCCCCCAGTCGATTAAAGATCTTTTCAAGTTCTGTCCTAGAAATGAAAAACTTCGTCTGATTGTCCCATTACTGAGGTTAGATATCTCCCAACAGAACTTTTTGTACACCTCTATGAAAATTTGGAATGATCTCATCCCCTATGTATTCGAAATATGTGATGCTAATGAAGATGGGATAATAATCCCGGGTTCTTCCAAAAATTCAGACTTATCAGCCTCGTCAGGTATTATTAAATCTAACCTTAAAAAGCACTTGCTATCCCTCCAAAATCGAGGTGACCCTAATATATGGTAACTAATCTATATTATATCTCAAATTCTACATCCGGTACGGCTCTGCACACATGATATCTCTCTCTGCCATGAAACATGGCTAACCTTTCAAACTATGATTTCAAACATAAACCTAAACTAAAACTCAACTGGGCTCTCCTATGTCACCAAACTAGACCAATAAGCAATTTTAGCTTAGATAATTATATTTTTCTATATTTGTATAATAAGTTTATTGACGTAGTGGATGGTTGAGGGGGTTTCAAGCACAGGTCACTCTCAAATCCTAAAGATAAGCAGTGGCCTTCGGCACTTGAAACCTCTTCAAACCTCCCCTGATTTATTTATTATTGAAATTGTTTGATTGTGCCGTAAAAATAAATGTTTGTTTTATTAAATATTTGTTTTATTAAATATTTGTTTTATTAGAATATTTCAACTAATGTTAAGGTTCGCTGAGACCTATTGACGGGGCATGTTTAACATTTTCTTATTGTCCTGCTGGTTTGTTGACCAGCCTCATAGAGCTAGTAGGTACATCTACAATTTATTGCATATTTATTACACACTAACCTTACCAGATGATGGGCATATTGATTTTTTTTTTATTAAATACTTTTAAAATTTTACAGAGTACAGCAATAGATGAATATAAAATAGAATCGTTCAAAATATCGCCCCCATCTGTAAAATATGATGGGCACCCAAACACGGTAAACACATAGTGAACTATGTCCGCAGTAACTTGGACCCATTACATCGAATTAATCTAAATCCAAAAATTTATGAAAAACTATTTAATAACAAACAAATCCATGGTGAATAACTGTGGATATAGAGTCAAAATTGGTATTTCAATACGTCAAATTCCAGATACATTAGATACAGGTCTGAAATGGTCATTAATGTGTGAGAAGGTGTGCGGGTGAAGTGTGATATGATGTTGAAAGTATAGGAAGGTAGATAAAAAAATTAATAAAACAAAAATAATAATAATATGGGGAGCAAAGAGACTAGGCTAGACTGTTGTTTCACTATCCAATAAACATTTCCATAGATGCTAAGTGACCTCAGCTTTGAAAAGACTAGTAGACACAATCTGTCTTACCTGTAAAGGGAGTCCATTCCACAGTATATGGGTTCTGTAGAAAAATGATTTCGCCAGTGGGCTATTTGAGGTACATGTGGTGTGTGAATTCTGACTTAACTTAGGTAAAATTGATGACACAATAGACAGACTGTCGAGGTGGCAACGTCTTAGTCGAGAAGTGCCCTGATATAAAGAGAGATAGTGAGGCAGCGATACAGGAATTATATTGTTAAGAACTTTGTGGAAAAAAATAAGATCATTCAAGTCAAACTTTTGAGACAAAGGGAGAATGTCGATATTGCTCAGGTGGATAACTGCGGCCCTCTTCAGACAGAATCCATTTAATAGCTCTCTTTTGGAGACTTTCTAATTTATCACTGAGTGATTTATTACAAGGGCGCCAGATTATGGAACAATTTTCGAATTGGCTACGAACCAGGGAGAGGTAAAGAGCCCGGCGACGTTTCTGATCAATGACAATATGGCCATCTCTTCTGACCATACCAAGTTGTTGGCAGGCCTTAGTATAAATTCTGTCGCACTGACTATTCCAACTTAGCTTAGGAGTAACATCGACTCCAAGATCTTTTTCTAACTCTACATACACAAGAGGAGAGCCATCAAGATTATATGCGAATGGAGGAGATAAAGATGGTTTTCCTGAAACAATAAGCACTTTACATTTTGCTGGATGGGATCGCATTTTGTTTCTTAGTGCCCAGTCAGAGAGATAGTCTATATCCATTTGTAAATTAGTATTATCAGAAGATGAATGTATTTTACGCCAGATTTTTGTATCATCGGCATACAAAACAATATCAGTATTATCCGAAAGGCCAAGAGGAATATCATTGATAAACAATACAAAAAGTAAGGGACCAAGAATAGAGCCCTGGGGGACACCAGAATTAACTGAGAGGGTAGATGACATCTCATTACCAATAACCACTCTTTGGTAACGGCCTTGAAGGTAATTGGTAAGAAATTTGAGAAGTGTACCATCAATGTTATATAAGGTCTTTAGCTTATGAAGAAGGATATCATGATTTACAGAATCAAATGCCTTAGCAAAATCAAAATACACAACATGATTGATAATGTTTTCGTTAAGAGACAATGCCAGGCTATCACAAAAGTCAACCATATTGGTTGTGCATGACTTGTGCTCTAGAAAACCATGCTGCCTGGGATCAAGAAGGGTACTTGTCAAAGAAAGCAGTTTACGTTTAACAATGCGCTCAAAAACTTTCATGACTAAACAAGTAAGGGATATTGGTCTATAGTTTTCAACCTCACTTTTCTTACCTTTCTTAAATATTGGGACAACATTTGCAAGTTTCCATTCTTGTGGAATGTAAGATCCACGAAAAATGCATGTTAGAGGGTAAGCTAAACCTACGGAACAATTTTTGAGAATTTTACCGTGTATGCCATCTGGTCCCTGGGCTTTATTTGAATTAATATTTGAAAGAAGCTTACGAACATCCCGATGATCGAAGTCACTATCAAAATCAACATCATTGACATAGGAGATGTCAGTGTCATAAAGTGAAGGATCCGAAAACTGGTTATAAAAGAAAGAATTGAAAAGTTCAGCTTGAGCTTTGGGTTTGAACCGAAGCTGTCCAGAATAACTAACACAATTAGGAATACGGCAGGAGTTAGATTTATACTTAACATGTGACCAAAACTTCTTAGTTATAAGCGCTAGATCATCACTATTGAAAAGATTGTCTCTTATTTTGGCTGATGAAAGCCTCTTAAAATCTTTACGGCTAGTAACAAACTTTAACTCATCAGAAATAGAACCAGAAATTTTAAATTTGGCTCTGAGTCTATCTTTTTTACGGCATGAAGAAAAAAGTTCACTATCGAACCACGGGGGTTGAAACTCTGATTTAATAGTTACTTTAGGAATATGTATATCAACTAAATTCATAATGCAGTCTTTAACTAACTTCCAAGACGAATCAGGATCTAGGCATTCTAGGACTTGCCAATTAATCGAGCATAATTCACGATTAATCATGTCCCAGTTTGCTTTCTTATAATTATAGATTTTACGTTTAGGAGTTTTCTTGCGGGAAAAGGAGCTTTTAATTGAAAAAGTGACAGGAAAATGATCAGATTTGCACACGGAATGAGGATCACAGACATTCAAGTTATCGATTGTGTTATCATAATTACTGAGAAGAATGTCTAATATATTATATAATGTATTACCACTTTTATGGGTGGGTGATGTGATCAACTGGGAGAGAGAGAGATCACTGAAAGAATCTATGAAGGATTGCTCAATAGGTACGGTACTGGATGAGGATAGCCAGTCTGTATGGGGGAGATTAAAATCACCAATAACATAGATTTTAGGGGGATTCTTTTTGGAAACTAGCTTGCGAATATAACTAACTATGACATCATGATTAGGTAACCCAAGAGTTCCTACTCTATAACAAGTACAGATTACAATACTCTCTTTGTTAGGAAAAGCAATTTTAACGGCAAGCATTTCTGCACCTAGGCTAACTGGTAGTCGGGTTGTAGTGGCATCGAGATCAGACCGAACAGCCAAAAGAACACCACCTCCATTTTCCCTAAACTTTTTAGGGTTATTAGGATCTTGAGGATGAGTCTTTCTCGTGCGGTCATTGCGGAAGATTTCATATTGAGAAGAAGGAAAGATTTCGTTGCTAGAAATAGATTTTTTGAGCCAAGTCTCATTTAGGGCAATTATGTCAGGCTGCTCTATGTTAGCAAAGGATTGAAGTTCGGAAATCTTACTACCATCAAGAAGGGGATGGGAGGAGCTTAGGTTACTGAAAGGAATAAGACCTTGGACATTTTGGTAGAGTACAGATAGGGAGTTGGGACCTGGATTAAGCATAGAAGGATTAACAAGAGTTATCAAAAGAAAGTTAAGAGAGAAAACCCAAAGAATGAATAAAGAGACTAGACGCCTGAGGCGGCTGGAATACTTGGCTCTATTCATCTTACCAGGGAGAAGAACATTTCTTATAAACCATGAGGAGATAATTACAAAGAAAAGTTTGATGTGGGAGCAAGCAAGAAATGGTATAAGATAACGTGGGCTGTCAAGGAGTAGAGAGGAATGAATATTAGAATCTAGGGGGAGTACAGTGTTCATGGACCTAGTTGTGGAGAGAAGAATTGGGAGAAAGTAAGTCATGATAAGAGAATAGAAGAGAAACATATGATTATGATAATTGTAGTTGATGTGTGGGGTGCAAGGAGACTTAAATGAGACATACATAGTATGTTTGTGTTTCACTGATTTGTAAACTGAAGACGTAAATAAATGTTATTTATAATGAATCTGGTTATTACATCATAAGAACCCCAATTTACCGTGGAATTTGGACGTGCCACAGTTAAAATTTGAGTGAGCCGTCTATAGCTGTCTAAGAGCTCGTAAATTAAATTTAATCACCGCCGGATATGCCCGGTGCCGGGGTTTCTCATAACTTCATAATGATCATAGTTCCATACCTCTGGTAGCTATTCCCACGATAGAAATACTACCTTGATTCACGGCCGTGATGAATGGATTTCCAGTAGATTTCATTCGAAGTCGAATCACTTCGGGCTTATTTTGATAGCTTTGAGCTATTTTAAACCAATTGCTCCTCTTCTCACTAACTATCGGACGATTTACGTACTACAGTTCGACAACTAAAGTTCATGGTTTGAATGAAAAAAAAAGAAGCGAAATGACTGAACTTAAAATTATAATGAATCTCAAATAGACGGATGGACACTGGACAGGCAGATGATATAAAAGTTAGAAACCTGATCGATGATACTAACGAAGAGACAATTTAAGGCAAGAGTACGAATGCCCTTGTCTCTTAGGCCCAAAGTTATTGAGATTTCCGGCTCATGATCGATAAGGCCCACTGTCACACAGGCGTGAGGTACTGGGGTCTGGGCACATCACCTGAGCTACAAATGGATCAGAAGTTTTAATCCGCGTTCAATACTGTTTTAAGATGTCTAACTAACCGTTGAAAAGATATATATGTGAGTTAAGAGTCCAATTAATTATCAAATTTTTAACTCGGCTATTGCCCAGTTCCTGAAATTTCAAGGTTTGTGGCCACTATTGCCTATGTCAGGTGGTGAAGGATTGTACCAAAACCATACAATGGCATATAAAGCCCTATCGATAGCCACAAACCGCATCTTGAAAATTGTAACAAAAAGACGAAACAAATTACCAAATTTGTATTTCGTGCAGCCAAAATTACTGATTTTTGCCAATATCTGAATCTCTACAAATAAGCATTTTAGAGCATATAATGATTCATAAGTCTAACATAAGTATGCTCATTGCGAATACTTTTAAATATCAGAAAAGTATCTACGACCTTTCAGTTTCTACTTCTAGCTCGAAATATAAAAATAATCCGGAAATTCAGGCTGCGATGAGCCAAAAAACAGTTTATCGTGAATTCCTTAAAACCTAGCTACGCTAGGCACTGGAGACATTATATTGCTGCATAACTTGTATATAAATAAGGCTATTGCAGTTATTTTAAGTCAACAATAATTTCGCTGCAGTTAAACCACGCACGATTAATTTTCGCTACAATGTACTTGTACCATTAAATTTAATTCTTTTGAGTGAAAAGTGTGACTGGAAAAAAGTGCAACATATTTACATACTATGTTTTTTATAAATGAGTGGGATTCGTGCAGGGTAAAAGTTGACGATTTATTTGACCAATGCAGCGCCGCGCATCAACAATAAATGAATCTTCGGCAAGAGTAGGGGAAAAAATCAAGTCTCTAACTCCTTTGGCTTTAGAAGCCGAGATAAAGAAATCCCAAATTTGCGCCTGAGGACTGGGACTAGCGATACAAAATGGGTACCTAAATGATTTTGGTTTGGTAATGACCCAATGCATTTGATTGAAATAAATTTTCGTGCACATACAGCATGAATAGCAATGAAAGACCCTGTGTGGTCAAAAATTGTGCACATTGAAGTGCACACACAAATACACTTTGCTATACTCTAGTATGGGTAGACTTTCTGAATACCTTACAAGACATATTTATGTGGATCATAATTCTGGGGATCGGAATTATGGGGGAACGAAAATACGGGGATTTTTTTCAGAAATCCCCAAATTTCGTACCCCAAATTAAATTGTCGCATTTTCACGCTAAATTATTTCAGAGAAATCAAAATTTTCGGAGCAGGATCCATTTGTTTAACAACAATGTTTAGCTGTTCAAGTTATTCCATAAGGGTGAAAATTGCATGTCTTCATTATTCTATTTTGTACTTAATGTTTTTCTAGTGTGAAACTAGTCTTTGTTATAGAAGTCTATATAAAATTATATGTGAGATAATTTTGAATCTGACGCACGTTTTTCACGTAACACTGAAAAACCAGTATTTTCTATTCAGTAATTTTTATACTAAGTACTTAAAGGTAACTTTCTATTTACCTGAGAAATGCGTATCCTTGTCTCACAAAACACGTAAAACAACTTATTTGACAAATTCACCTCAAATTAGCCCTATTTAAGCCAAATACATAAAAATTAATGTGTGGGATTTTGAAATGGCGGCCACAATTTTGGTAGTACGAAAATATGGGGATTTTTTCCAAAAATCCCCAAATTTCGTACCATATAAATATGTCTCGTAAGGTATGGGGCAGTTTTGCGCAATTTACCACGCCCTTTTTTGACGCTTTCGCGATATCTAAACCCACATATCCCCACTTCTGATTGGAGAAAGGAGATCAACTTGGATATGAAAATGAGAAAATGGTCAGAATCATCACATTTAGAGGGGTAGAACATGGATTCAAAGTCCTTACACTTAGGATTAATGAGTTATGTTACCACACCCTTAAATGATATGTATGTAACACGCGAGTAATTCAATTATAATTTAGAAAAATTAAATTAATATCACTCAATTGGTAATTTTGTTGTTGGGCAAAATAAAATCATAAGCTGATTTAAATGATATAAAGTTGATTTTAATTTGAAACTCTTACCTCTTTCTTTACTAGTTCTGCTTTTGCTACGTTTTCGGAGTCTGCTACTTCCGTCTGAAAACGATCATCATTATGCCAAGGTATTTCGGATTTGGGATGTGCGTATTTAAAAAATCTTGACTAATTTCTAAAAGAAACTCCAGATAAGATTAAAAACTTTAAAGCAATTATCATAAATTATAACTTTTAAATAACAAAGATACCGATACGGATAATGGGTTTAAAAAAATAAAAATGATATCACTGATTCGTTTTTGGGTGATATAAAATCATAAACTGGTTTAAAGTCTCACCTCACTGTTGGCTGTGCCGGGATCAAGCAGGGCCACAAATAAAGTGAAAAGCACTACTCTCGTTACAGCCATGACTGCTGAATTACATGTAAATGTCTAAGTCATTATTTGCTCGAGCAAGTTAAATGTACTCGTATGTTCTCATTTTTGAAATTTATCTGACGGCGTTTTCACGCCAACACATGTTTCAAAGCTAGGCTCACTAAAACTACTAGTACTACTAGTCCATCGTTACTCCTCTAATTAGTATTTTAACAGAATTCCGCTGATTCGGGCATTACAAATTGTAAACTGATTAGCCGTCCCTAATAATATAACTATAAGGCATGGCCTTTATCAAAAGCAAATTGGTCACGCAACTAGTTACTGGGCGGCGCTCAGCCTGTCATTCCGCCGAATCTCTATTCTTAAATGTTCATAAACATAATAGCCTGGGGTCCCCAGCTGTAAGGCGTAAGCAACTAGTGAACTTGACGTCGGGCGCGGTATTCTACGAATTAAGATAATTATATTAGTATTTTCACAGCGTAAATTTTATTTTTTGTAATCGGAAAACGTATTTTCGAAAATATATAAAAATCACGACATTACTAATACTATGGTATTATTACAAAAATAGGTTTCTGGTCGCCTGTATGTTACGTTCGGATATGATATCGGAAAAAATACGCAAAGAAATCTTATACATTAAGCAATGAGTCTTGCTGCACAAGAGTTAGAAATTGCAAATTGAATTAAAAGGACAAAATATAACAAAATGCAAAGGATGACCAAAAAGTTGTAAATTTTAAAGTTACAACTTGGTGCCTGGATAATTGGACTGACTAACTGATTAGTGTTAAGCTGTAAACTGCTCGTAAACTCTAAACAGACACTTCTTCATGATGCCTAAGATTGAAAGATTCTCAACATGATGAGCTTTCCCGTATTCCCACACGTACCGAATGGGTGTATAACTATATGATTGTATAAACAATAAAACACCCAATTATTCTTTGTATATATAATGCGGTATATGTAGCTAATGAACATAACACGATAGAGTGCCCAGTACGTTGTTTAATATATATATATATTACGTTGTTTAATGACTGCAGTACCAGGAGATGGAGACCAAAGGCGCCTCCTGGTTTGACCACTATTGTCCTTCGATCGTGCTAAATCACTCAACATTCGATCTTCGAGAGTTTTCTAAAAGGGCCCCATGAAACCAACTAGGATGGATCTTAGATGGCAAGTACGTACGGTACAGGTCTTTAAGTACGTACGGTACAGCTACTTTTAAAGGTACGTACCGTACAGGCTCTGTAAGGTACAATTTTTTTTCAAATTTTTAGAATCAACTTCAGTGAATTACTTGCAATTTTTGATTAGTATTATCATCATAATTTTTGAGATAGAAGTCGAAAATAAACACAGTGGTTAAAACAATAAAAGATTTAAGAGGAAAATTTGTGTAACGGATCGCTCTTAGCCAGTACTACACTACTACTACTTGTAATTACTAATTAGGTTCCATTTCTTCTACTTCTGGATTATTCTGCTGGATTTGTACCTTTCAGCCTACCTTATTAAGTACGTACCGTACAGCTAATTTAATTTTTTTTTTTTTTGAACGCTGATTCCGAATCACCCCTCATGACATAGGGTAAAAATGCTCCCGGCCCTGACAAGATATTGGCGAAAAACTGTCTTGATCATGTTATATGACCATATAAGGAAGTTGGTCGAATTTTTTCTTATGGTAAGGGTTTCAGCATATGCTTCAATTAGAGATTGAGTTAGGGTAAGAGTTTGGATCAAATTAGATTTAGAGGCCCCATGGTTTGCCCGTTATTGACCTTCTTAAGCCGTATATGACAAACGTTCGGTAGACACAGTTTGTAAAACAACGTACTGAAATAATGTTTTTAAATCGTGTCTCACAATGTTAGTGGAATCGGTACACAGCTTGAGCTAGGAGGACTGTAGTGCAAAGAAACTACTGCTAACTGCTGCTAACTGCTGCTAACTGCTGCTGACTGCTGCTAACTGCTGCTGTCGCGCGCGCGCTCAGTTCGGCAGATAATACCGAGGGAGTTCCCTGGTTTCAGTTATACTTATAATATATGGCTATAATTGTCCTGCCTAAGTTGTGAGCGGAGGTTATAATATCTATTTTCTAAGCGGTGTAAGAAAATAAAAGAAATAGTGACTCTATTGATAATATTTTAGAATTATAATTCAGCATCACAATTTTCTATACGTTGTTGTATGATAACACTTACTGAAAACATGCTAATTACTATACAACAACATAAACTCTATAGTCTATAAAGCTATAAGCATGCACAAAGCCCATCATTTTTCGTCAGCCCACCATAATGCTATAATGGCAATAGATAATATTCACCTTCAAGTGGCATTTTATTTTCCTGATTCATGATTTACACAACATAAATATAAGCATAATATCTTGTAGAGTTTCTGTCACAAAAAGAATGCAATCCTTAGTAACAACACTTTATTTCTCCCAACAATTTGTATTTGGTTCAAGTGTTTGATCCAAGTAAGAGCCTTGTCTCCAAAAACCCATCTAGACTAGCATTTCAGTGTGTTCTAAAGCTTTCAGGCCCGCAAATTCCTTGCACCGTTAGTTGCCTGTCCGTTTACAACCCAATTAGCAGTCAAGGACAGAAAGTCATATACCAAATGAGCATTATGTGTAGTCAGTGTTATAGCTTTCGTTGCAATTATCGAGCTCTCTTATCTTTTGTAAATTTGCGATAAGTTCAGTTTGCTGCTACCGCGTAGTTTACCTTTGCGCATTTCTGGGTACAACCATGCTCGTCCTTATGTAGTTGTACACCGCAAGTTCCTGCTCCTGTAACATACATTTCTAATTCTTGTCAGAGAATTCGTGTCCTAGTTTCTGCTTTCAAACACTTACCGTCCAAGTTAAGCTAGGGAGCACTGATATATGAATATATTCCTTTGCTTCCAGTTGGTGTAAGGCACAGTTCATCATTTGGAATCCCACTGAGTTCATAATCGCGACCACATATTACGGCAAATATTACGGTTGTAGGAGCGACCAACACACTATCAAGATCGTTTGCCTATCGTAAACACCCCCCCCCCCCCTCATGGGCAGTGGGCATGGTTATATTATAGCGATCACACTATTTCTAGTTCTGACGTAATCATGGCGTGTGTACCGCGGTGCAGATATGAGCACCTTGAAATTGCCGAGCCAAGCTGTGGTTACCTGGGGACCTCAGGCTATTATGTTCATAAACGAATAGAGATTCGGCGGAATGACAGGCTGAGCGCGGCCCAGTAAAGCTGTGGTAGAGATAACAATGTGAACAGAGGGTAAAATACAGATAAGAAAAGTAAAAAAACGATATTATATCCGTCTGCTCACTCTTTCTGTTTGTGATTGGACGGATCGGCGTCACGTGACATAACACCTCTATTACAATTGGTCGCTCGGTCAGGATCACGGAAGGCATGGCTGCCCGTCCTTCTGACTAAATATAATTCAGTTGTTATTATGATGATTGTTATATCATGATGTTGGTTACCTACCTTCATTCTTTCATTGTGTTTCTTTTGACTTTACTGTTGTGCTCTGCTCTGAAAATTGTGATAGTACAAGTTCGATCTTTCGGTTTCAGCTTAACTCCCTAGGCCCTAGGTTATGAGTACAACCGAAGGATCAAAATACATGTTGATTGTTGCTTGTATTATTCAAACAAATAATCAAAAACAAATAATCAAAGTTTTAGCACATTTTACAGCATAAAATTTAAACAAATGAAAACATATAATGCTCTTAGTGGTAAATGGCCGTTTGTTCTGAGCTGTATGATTTTTTGACAATCAACTAGCGGGGCAAGGAATGTACTGGCTGGTAGCTTTTGTACACACCAAAACGCTAGTCTGGTTGATTAATGACCAAATTAGAGGCGTTGATAGGAAGGCATTATAATTTGTGGGTGTAAGAGGGAATATTTGGCATGCATTATTCTAGCAGCTATTTTGTAACAAATGGTCTTTACGATTATTAAGGACGGTAGGTATTTTGGGTGTTCAATGGGGGCCGGGGGTTTAAATTTAAGGGAGAAAAAGAAATGAATATTGGGTTATAATATTAATCATAGATGTCAACCCTGATATAACTATTGTACTAAAAATTTGATCATAATGCTTAGGGTCTTTATTAGAATTCAAATTGGATATAAAAATAGGATCTCTTTACACTACACTTACTCACTCACACATCACATTTAACTTGACAGAGGAATACGCTGGCAGAGTATGTCGATTTGGTCATGAAATTTTGGAGGTCAGGTGGAATCCCTGCAGGAGCCTACGAAAATTTAAGGTTACAAATATCAAAGTCTTTATTTGTCCAGTCATACACGGCATGACAATGCTGGTTGGAAAGTAGTGAAGACTATTAACTATAAAACATCAATTTTGAGGGAACTATAAAACATCAATTTTGAGGGATAAGAAAGTGTTTATAGGTCGTGAAACTTAGTTAAATCGATTTTCCGTGCAATTTAAGGACAGAAACAGTCATCAAAATGAGTTAATAAGAAGGTTTTGAGCTTTCGTTCAGAAAATAATTCGGGACCTTCAAAGGGGGTAACAAAAAGAAGTTACAAGTGTTACAAGCCTTCTATAATACAAAATTTGCATCACATCTTCAATCTGCTGAATAGACGCGCCACTCAAAAGTAAACAAATATATATCCACCAGCGGGCTATATCTGCACCAGCAGGCCCGTTAGTTCGAAGACCTGATATTTCCCAGCCCGCTGATATAGCGGGCTGCTCGCTATATCAGCAGCTGCCGGCTGGTGATACAGCTCTAAAACTTTAACTATTGCAATGCACGTGCACCATATTTATAGATTTATAATGACCGATACACATTATGATTACACCCTACACAATACACATGCAGTCCAAGGTGCTGGGCTTTTTGTCTTCCTCTGATTCCCCTGAGTGGCTATGACTATGAGTGTGTTTCGTAGCAGATCATGGATCAAACCTGAATCGTATTCTGATATGATCTTTGACCTGGCTCTTAG